AAAATACAAAAATACAAATACAGGAAAATAAAAACAATGGGGGAGGGACAAGAGCAATGTATTTACAAATAGGCGAACTAGAACAGATGGGTTTTGAGTCTGGTTTTGAATAAGGAGAGAGAGTCAATATAGCAATATTGCAGAGTTTAGGAGGAAGTGAGTTCCAGAGCTGGGGAGCAGAGCAGGTGAAGGTTCTGCTCCCCATGTTGACGAGTCGAGCTGGGGATACAGTGAGGTGGATGGAGGAGGAGGATCTAAGGGAGCGGACGGAGGTGGTGATGTGAAGGAGGTCGGCCAGACATGGAGGAGCAAGGTTATAGGTGGCTTTGAAAGTATAAAGAAGGATTTTGAATTGTATTCTGAATTGAACTGGGAGCCAATGGAGTTGCTGAAGGACAGGGGTAATGTGATGATAAGATGGGGTTCTGGTGATGACAAGACAGTGCGATGCGCAGGAAACTATAGGCAAGGCAAGGCAAGGCAAATTTATTTGTATAGCACAATTCAATACAAAAACAATGCAAAGTGCTTTACATGAATAAAATATAGGAAAATAAAACAGAATCAAAGCAAGTAGGAAGAAAAAAAATTATCATAAAGTTACCTGCGAACCTCATGGGTAAGATTGTTTTATGGACTTTATTTCCTATGTGATAAATCTTACGTATCAAATATACGCTGGCTCAAAATTAAACTAAAATTGCAGCCCAGCTTTAATATTTATTGAAATGATCTTATTCTTTTTGGTGAAAGCTAAGAAAAACCATTTGTCCATTTGTCCTTTTCCCATTTATGGGGGTGGTGGCCCAAGGTCGTTGAATAAGGTAGCCTAATTAATGAATGTCAGATGAGTAGTTGGATTATGGACCCTGAATTACACCAGAGTATTTTGAGATAAATAATACTATGTGCTGTCTTTACACTTGTTGGCCCTCAATACACTTATTTTGGTACAGGAGTCTTATTTGAACAGACATGTTAAGCAGCAGGATAGTGCACAGCTGATAAATAAAATAAATATATAAAATTGTGTTTGCTTCATTCTATTTAAAAATTAGAAATTGGCCTGCATTTGTATTCAGGTAAATATGCGATGTTAATTGGTTGCCCATGTTGGCCCGAAGGTTTGATTCCGGTGTTTCAAATGTTTTGCCATCTCCCATCAAACTGAAAACCAGAACTCTTATGATTTTCTTTCCCCTATTCTTTTTTTCTGGCTATTATTTCCTAAAGGCCTGATTAGGTTCAGCCAGCCTATCACCAGAGTGTTTCACCTTAGCTGCGGATCTCTGCAACTCCTACAGTGTTCCAGATCAGGCAGATGTCAACATGTTGGTAGATTTAGAGTTGAGCCACATGGTTTCCATCCATGATCCAATGGATTAAATGTTGCTACTGTATAAAAGATTGGAAAATACCTGCTCACTGTGTTTATCATTCATCATGAGGTTCTTTGTCCATTAATGTTCCCTAACAAACACCTGAGGCCTTGATTTATTGTGACTTTACATAACTAAGCAGGTGACTTCTGATAGAAGTTTGTTTCACTAGAGGTAGCAGAGTAAAGGAAATTAATACAAATGCATAAAAATATTTTTCAGATTTTGTAAACGTTCTTTAACACCATTTGCCTCTTTTGTTTCCATTTTACCACTGAGCACAAATTTGTGTTGGTCTATCAGATAAAATCCCAATAAACATGTTTGTGGTTATAATGTTAGGAAATGTTAAGAGTTATGAGACCTTTAATAAGGAACTGTATTTATTTAAACGTGGGAGCAACGGTAAGACAAGTTAAAAATAAAGTTTGACTGGAGGAAATCAGATATGACAGTTGATGTTTTTAATTTCTTTAACATTTGACCTGGTGATGATTACGGCCCCTCAGAGTTTAGACTCAAGCTGGCTGCGGCATCTTGGATGTTGGTGCTTTAAGGCAGATGGAGTAAATATTTATTTCTGACTAAGAACTTCTGATGCATGTCATTCTCTGCCCATTTTTCTGTTAGAATCCAAATCTACATTTAATTGAAAACGTGACAAAAGAAGAAAGGCGAACAACAAAATAATAATAATGATAATCCAACATTTTTAGTATCTCTTAATCTGTTGAATACATCGGTTTAGCGATTGTGGAAATAAAACATGTTATGTATATCTCTAACCTTTTAATATTTTAATAATATGATTACATAAAATTTCTTTGCATGTATGTTATTCTAAGAGTACACAGAGAAAAAGTAGTCTCATTGAATTTCTCCTTACAAAAGGTTGTATAGACTAAGATAGATGTCAACTAATTTAAATGCTAGCTGCAACTGAAGCACTAAAATAATTAAATTAAATATTAAGAAAAATAACTCTTTTTTGGTCTTAAGTTTTTATACATAATAACTATAAATACCCTGGAACCCTACCTAGTCTTAAAAATCAGAATATTCAACTCTAAAATGTGCAACACATAACTTTGCATAAAGAAAAAACATACACAACAACCCCCCAAAAAAGTCTATGAAGGCTGAATGTGAGAAAAATAATCACATAATAAGAGCTTTTCAAATGTATTTGCCCTTTCCACTTGTTTCCAAATATTATCAGGTTAGAACTAGAGGGCCTACAGCCACAGGTTGGCAAACTAAACAAATTCTGGTCAAATGAAACAATAATTCAGCTTTTTGGTCAAAATACAAAACAGTGTGAGTAGCAAAAAAGTAAGGAACCATTCCCACCATAAAACAGGTAGTAAAACAGCATCCTGCTCCACAGAGATCTACCTTTTCTACCAAAGACCTTTACTTACCGTATATTTGGACAAAAAGACGTTCTAAAAAGGTTTACTAAATACAAATTAAAGGCACATTTTATATATTTGATATCCAGTTTGGGATAGAGTATGTCTAAAACAAAAAAATGTCCAATATTCAATTAAAAATATATTCAACAACTGTCACTAAGCAGATGACCGAGCGGGTTTACCCAGAAATAAGTCTGTAATGATCAGGCTACATGTCAGATTTACTATTTTTAGTTTGGATGCTAAAATAAAAACAAACTATGAACTGGTGGACTTGGAGGTCTGAAGTTTCCAAAGCAGGAAATAGTGATTTTTTAAATAATTTTTTTTTTGTGTGTTAATACGGTGAAAGCATAGTGCTTTTATTCAAGGACATTATGCCATATATCATTGTGAGAAACACTCATGTACATCCGTTGCTTTTATTTTATTGTGAAAAAATAAAACACTATATATATTGCAGTGTATTATATATCTAGTTTTAGGATATGGAAATGATCTATGATGTACTATGCATGCTTGAGATCAGTGGACATTGAGGACGCCCAGGATATCAGGGTAGAAAAGGTTATCTCTTTGTATTTGGGTGTATAACTCTTTCAAATCCAGTTTAATAAACTTTATATAGGTATCAATTGATTTATTTTAAACAGATAAGTTGCTTTGTTTTCAAACGCCTTTATCAAACTAAGACAAATAGACTTGTTTTACTTTGAAGCCCATTCTAGCAGCTTCCTGAACCATCAGCTGACTTGACTCCCTGTAAAACACTTTGGGAATGTCAGGGCTTCTCTCTCCATCAGTTTCTACCAGACAGATCAGAAGAAACCCAGAAATCAGGAAAGTGGAAATCTTTGGATTCTTTAAACTGAATATTTTACATAAAATCGCATCTGAAAAATGAATATGGCAGATTTTTACCCAGACAGGTTCATTTTCAGCCGCAGTATCTAACAGGTTGGGGACACAAGAGTACATGTTTCTAGAGAAAAAAAGCAAAGAATTATTAAAAAAGATGAAGGGTAGATCTAAATGTAGACGATAAACGGGTCAGTGTGCTTGTTGACTTACTGTTGACACAATTTCACAAGAGAAACAGAGGAATTAAATGCTGTATAAATATCAACCCTGACATAGTTTTTAAATTTTAGCGTCTGTCTATCTAGTTTCTCTATCTAGTTTGTCCCCCATATGTTTTAAGTGTGTGTTTGTGTTTGCCACTTCTCACTGAATAAAGCATTCTGTTAAGTTCTCCGAAGGAAAATAACCTGTTTCTGTAACATTTCAGGACAAAATGCTGGCAGTTCAACGTGGGGAAAGAAAAGGCTTTAACACGCCGTTACTGCCATCTGCTGCTCAACCTTTGCCATTGCATGAACACCCGAGGATAAATTACCTGGCAAAATGAAAATAATGAATTGAAAATTTATTACTTGCAGTTTTAAAAGTGAAATTCATACTTTTATTTATCTGTTATATCTATTTTTTTTCTGGATAATTATGGCTTACAACTGATTATAATAATAATAAAAAAGAAGAATCTGATACAGTAAATAGTTGCACATTAGGCAAATAAAAAAGCAATAATTAAATGTTAAGGTTATGTTATGGTCTCGGTCACTGATTCCCAAAGTTGGGGTCCTGACCCCACTTGGGTCCTTGATCAAGTCATTGCAGTGGTGTGCTGGTACACGTATGGCACCTCATGCTTGATTCTGCTAATTACCTTTACATAACTATTTTCCAAATGAGACTTTCTCTCTTCTCACTCACCATGTTTACGTGGAGCTCAGATGCTTGTACCACTAGAGTATCTTCTGAAAATATCCTTTAAGAAGGTATTAAACAAAGGTAGTAATCCCACATTTTAGTATGACCATTTCTTTCATTGCTATTGTAATATTCTAATCTTTCGATTAGCTGCAAGCAAAAAACCAAAATGACTTAAAATCAGGCTACCTCTTAAATCAGCCAGTCTCTTCTTCTCTCTCACACACACACACACACATATATATATATATATATTGTTCCTCTAACTTTTTTCAATATGATATATAGTCCTCTGAACAGAACAGAGGCATTCAATCAATACTGACAAATAAATGGTTTCATTGTGTGTTTAATGAATTCAGCGACTCGCACTGATTTTCAGACTTCTCATTTGTTAAAATGCACCTGAGAATAAAATGACAAAATCAGTCGGAAGAAAATTTGACACATAAACCATTTTTTATTTTGTAAACCGGTCATCACTCAGGCTGCACACAGATGTTTCCAGAGTTTCCCCCAATAAAAACAGTTAGGAGCATCCAGACATAAGAGAACAAGGAGTTCTGGTTAACAGGAATAAAGCAGAATCCTCAAAGTATATGCAGTCAGTTCATTCTGTCAATTTAATTTGATGTCTGAAGCCTGAAGAAAAAAAAAAAAACAACAACAACAAAAAACTTGCTCTTCTGTTCCAGGTGGCTTAGCCTGTTTCCTGCAAACAGGTTTCCTGAACTTATCAGGCAGCTGCTCTTGGTGAGTGATTATACAAAAAGGACCCCCCCCTTCCCAGAGAATGAAATCCAAACAGCACACCAGAAAGTACAGGGAAAAAATGAAATAAAAGCTTGTGTAATTATGCCCTAACAAGCTCCTCAGGGAACATACATAGAATCAATATAAGAACAATTTTCTCTTTTACAAACACAGGCACATATATGTACCTTGTAGTTATACATTATGAAGCACTGACTGAGTTCATGCCGAGGCTCAAAACACCTTCCTTCGCTATAGCTGGCGGAATATGGTGCTGTGACCAGAGACGGACAGTTTTATACACTACACTTTTTATAATGACCACATTAGTTGTACTTTTTGTCTAATATAACATCGAAAATAAAAATAGGGTCCCTCACAACAAAGCTATACAGGATATCATACAAACTGATGACGAGACAGTCTACTGACACACAGGTACGGTGCACAAGCTGGCAGGCAGGAATTGGAAAAAAACAAAAGAAATCTCTGTAAATTTTAAACAGTATAAAAACTCTCCATATTATTTTTTTTTACCTCAAAGCAAATCCAAAACTAAGGAGCCAGAGCTCTGATCTGCGTAGATGTCAGGAAGAAAAATCTTCGTCCTCCTTCACCAGAAGTGTTAATATTGAGCCGGAGGTCCCATGACATTCACTTGATCCAGAGTTCCTCAACACTTGGCTTTATATCAGCTGGAATGCTGGTATTTTTTTTTTAAAGCATGTTAATATGTAACAGCACTATAGTAAGGCAGTGAAAGAATAAATTGAACAAATTGGTCCAGATGTGATCTGATCATGCACGCTGATGTATCGTAGATATTCATCTCTCCCTCCTGCAATGGCTGCCATAGTTTCTGTTTTTACCAAAACAAACACTGTGCCTTGCAAAGTCTTAATACCCCTTAGTTTTTCCACATTTGGTCACTTCATGACCACAAACCTTAAAGTGGTTTATCTGGATGCTTCTGACAGATTAACACAATGTTCTAAATCTGAAAAGATAAAGGATAGATGGCATGGCTTTAGATTCAGTAGAATCCAATGGCTTTGAAAAGTCCCGTAATTGCTAAATAGATCCTGCCTCTGTTTAGTTAAAGTCGGTATACATCTGTTTTATGAAGGCCTAAGAGATTTTTAGATAACATTAGAGAACCACAGCACTTTGAAGACCAATGAGGCTGTTAGTCAGACAAGCAGCAATCATAGGCTCATCTAGCTATGGAGAAGTCTCAGAGACCATAACAGTTTTGTTTTATTCTGCTTGCCAATCATGTGTGAAAAAAAAATCCAAAGCGTGTCATATTTGCTGTGAAAACGGTGGTGGCAGCATCATGCTGTGGGGATGCTTCTCTTTAGCAGGTTAAGAGACACTGGTCAGAGTTTAAATGAAGATAAAATTTGGATAATTACCAAACAATATTGGAAGAAAATCAGTTAAAAGACTTAAGACCTAAATGGAGGCTCACCTTCAAGCAGCAAAATGTCTAAAGATGTGCAGTGGAATGGTTAATATCCAGTCATATTTCTGTTAGAATGGCAAAGAATTAAATAAGATTGAGAATCTGACAAGATTTTAAACTGGTGTGCACAGATGCCCTCTATTTAATCCAATTAAATTTCAGATACTTTAAAAAAACAGGAAAGACTGAAATTCTGGACGTGTAAAAGATTCAGAGCCATATCCCGAGTTATTGCAGAGAAAGGGGGATCTACTGTACCAAGTATTATTTCGAGGTGCTTGAATACAAATGAATGTCACTCAGTTTTTCATTAGTAAGAAAGAAAACGACATGTAAAACTACAGCATGTGTAACTTTTATTGGTCCACCACAAAAGATCTTAAGAAAAAACACGAAGGATATGGCTGTGACTGGACAAAATGTGAAAAAGCTCAGGGTTATGAATACTAGAATACTTTTGCAAGGCACTGCATGGTTATACCCTTGATACTTCAGTTGGGCCTTAGTTTATTTGACGCTAGCATTAAAAATCCCTGTAACAGACACAGTGAAAACTTTATAACCACTTGCAGGTCAGACATGCAGAACACGCTACTGAAGAGACTAGCCCACAAAACATAAAAAAAAAAGGAAAACAGTCTTAAGTTTGCACAATAGAACAAGAAAATAAGAAAAATAATTTCTATATATATATATATATATTTAAATGTATAGTCCTTTTTTCATACATTTACATTTCTCATAATGTTCCAGTACTTTTGCGTAGTTAAACTACGCACGCTTAAAGATTCACATATTTACGAGGCGATCCTTGTAAGCTGCATTTTAATTAATTGGTTAAAGTGGTTAAATAAAATAAGGAATAAAAATAAATAAATCTCTTATGAAGCACAGATAAATTCTCTGGGTGTGGTTAAGCATTTATTCAAAGGAAGCAGTCCAAGTGCGCTCTAACCGATCAACGGAGGTGTGTGGCAATAAATGCATTAAGGGCACTAAAAATAAAAGCTTTTCCTCTCATTGCTGCTGCAAAGTATGACTGAGTCGGGTTACTGTTTCCCAGTGGCCCATCATACTTTGCTCTCTGCTGTGTTTGTCTGTATGACACTGTTGTGTACTGAGGTGATCAGGGTGTTTGGTAGGTCCCCCTCGTCCAGTTTGCTTTTCTCATCAGCAAATATCTTCCTGCAGTGGGAAAAAAAAAACAAGGTTGAGAATTAGGAATGTTAAAAGTTGTGAATATAGCCCAGCAAACAAACAGTTAATTGAAACACAGTCTCAATGACAGCTCTACCCAATATGTAAGAGGACGCTGCAGTCTTCTTACATATTTCTTCACCACCTTGACACAGTCTGATAAAAAATAACAGATAATGACATACCCACATCCCAAACTGACTCTTCCCTAAAACCAAACTCTAAATGTAGAAAGTAGGAATGAATCAGTTTAGTTTTACTTCTGAGTGATAATATTAGAATAAATAGGCCCCTGGCTTGTAGCAAAATATCCCTGATCATTTTAAAGGACATTTGTTAGCTTTTCTTTCAGAAGCTTGAAGGTAGAAACAGCAATCAAGCCTCTGTTCGCTCCTGGATAAAAGATGGAGGGAATGCTGGAAGGGATCAAATTAAAGCCTGAGATGATGCATTGTCTCATTATTGATAAGCCAGCTTGAAATATAAAATGCATCATGTTGCTACTGAGGTGATGCTTTCTATACATGGATTCTTTACAAGTTCTTGATACGAACATGACCTGAGCAAATGCACACTCAGGTTGGTTACAAAGAGGCCTCTATTTAGCTGAAATTAGATATAAAAATAGGGAATGGCTTTGTTTCCCTTTTTTTTTTACACAGATAAACATCTCTGATAAAATTCTTATGTTGTAATTTAAAATATAAGGAAACATAAGTTTACATGCCTCCTAAAATTCCTGTTAAAGTAGCATCTTTCAGGAACTTTTTGGTCTAGGTAATGCTGTAGTAATAATTAAAAATATATTAACCACTAATCTGGTAATTATTTTAAATATTATTTATTTTCAATGTAAATACTGCTAACTGCAGCTCTTCAAGAGAATCGGTTTTATAATCAGAGCTTGGAAACCATTGATGAGTCCATATCTATTTCAGGTCAGTAGCTCAGGATAATATAATAATATCTAATATGGTTGATAGTTTTAAGATTTAAGAGAAGACTATAAAAATTTGGGAATCTTAATACTCTTTATTAAATTGCCCTCTCTAAAAAAACTGGTCGTCCACTGTTTCCCTTTTTAACTTTGTTAAAAACTGTGTTTTTATAGAGATTGGATTTAGATATTTTTCAGACGTAAACATAAATAACTGTCACACACAAGCAATAAAATTCAACCCATCAGATCACTTCTATCTATAACATTCCACTAGAAAGATTCACCCCAATGTCATTACCACAGTTTACCATTACAATATTTGATATTGTGTGGTCAATGGCAAGATGCGGTGGTGAATGAATGGGCATACAAGTTACACAAACTTTCACACCAACACACACGCACACAGATAAACCTCTAGAGGGAGCCGTACTCATCGTTGACAGGAGGAGCGGTCTTGAGGGTCTCTGAAGCCTCCAGAACAGGGCCTGAGGGAGGGAAGCCTGCTTGGTGTCCGCTGGGCAGAGAGGGGGCAGCGGATGGGCTCTCTAAGCTTATGAGGTCTGAGAGGGGCCGTGAGGGTCTTCCTGTGCCATTTCTCAGCTCTAACTCTAAATCTGCGTTTTTGTGCCCTGTGTTTGGAGCTGTTAATTCATAAAGCTCGGACCCCGGCGTGAGGAGGTCATTGGGAACCGTTGAATTAATCAGAGTGATGGGTAAAGGCGAGGGGACGTCTGCCAATAGGGAGGCAGGGTTTTCAGCGTGTGGATCTTCAACATCATCTGGGATATCTGCAGGAGTTTTACTCGGAGCGGGTTTTGATGTGGGGATGTTATTATCAGTAGGTCTATCTGTATTAAAAGCAGAATAGCTGTATGCAGTGGAATCTGGAACACCAGGTTTAGGTTTTGGTTCTGGAAGAGAATTAGAAGCAGATTGCTGTGGCGTTTCTTTGTTTAAGGCGACTGTGTTTGGCTGTGGAGTGGGCTTAGTGACCGGAGGGCTCGGAGCAGGCTTCTTGGTGTCTGGAGTGGGAGGAGAAGACGTAGCAAGAGGGGAAACTGGTGGGCTATTTTTAGCGTTGAGAGCAGCAAGTTTAGGAGAGTGTCTGCGCTTTGGCGGTATCGGTGTTCCAGATTTTTGAGGTCTGTTCTGTTCAGGGGTAAGAGAAGGATTGTTAGTCTTTTCTTTATCTTCTGGGGTCTTAATCCCCTCCCTTTCAAGCAAAGGCCCCATTTTCGCTTCTACGACAGTTGAGGAGAAGACGGGGGTCGGCGGGGCAGTGTTCGACTCCGGGGTCGGAGCTGGCGCTGTTAGAGGGGTGGGCGAGGGCTCGTTGGCCAGGGTGGACAGGCTGCAAGTGAGTGTGGTGGTCTCGCTAGAGGGGCTTTCCTGAGCAGGATCAACTGTTGCGGTGGCTGTGTCAGAGTTGGTGGCTATCGAGGAGGGGGTGTCCAGTGCCAGAGAAGCCACCAGCCTGAGAGAGCAGGGAGAGAACAGAGACACACAGACTAGACACCAGGGTGACTGTGACAGAGGAGGGGTGACCCGAACGAGAGCATGCAGAGGGATTAGTTGGCTTCAGAAATTCACAAAAACACACAAAAGCAACTAAAAATAGCAACTATAAAGCTTAAGAAGAAAAAGAAAAAAAAAGGGCATCATGCTGTGAGTGAACATTAAAGGATACATCCCATACACACACCAACATGGAGTACACTGACTAATAAACTAATGGACTTCAAAAACCACCAGCTTCCTCGAGAAACTACAGCACCACATGGAATCACCTATACGGGTTAAACAGTACCAGTGACAATCTTATCCTGCCTTTTTCTGTAGTTTTTTTTTTCTTTTCAGACTTCTGATATGAGATGACTTGCTGAGGCTGTTAAATGGTTTTATGAATTGACCACAGTTAGGAGGAGCAAATCCTTTGGTGTCTTTTACTGGTATTGCTTCAACCATTATGTAATGAGACAGAAAATCTCCACATCTGGAGCAGAAACACAAAGTACGGTAATCACCTCTGACTGGGAGAAGGAAAAGAAAAGCAACACAACCCAGTGGACTCCACTCAAGAATGAAGGGAAGGTTTTAACGGATTTAATAGTCAAATTAAGGGTTTGTTAAATAAAACCATTCTTTAAAGTGGAGTGCAATGTTGAACAGCTGAGAAAACCTTTGCGTTAAAAATGCTCAGTGCTATTTGTCTGTTTTGACTCACTCTGGCTTTGTGAGCGGCGTGGTTTCATTGGGCTCCGTCGGTCCAGCTGCGTTGTGATTGGCTGTGCACTCGTCCTCTGTTCTGACTTCCACTATGGGCTCTTTGGACTCATCTTTCCTACAATATGAAGACAGATACATTGGTACTCGGGCAGGAGATGACTGACATCTTATTTTGCAGCCTTAATGCGCTGTAGGAAGATGTGATGAGAGCTGTGATTCCAGGCCTTTCGACCCCATCACTACACACTCTAGGTGAGTCAGTAGTACATACATTCTCATGACACAAGCAGCAATTTCCGGGGGTAGTACAAACCAATTCAACTGAATAGTATTTAAGGGAAAAAAAGTTAAATATCAATGCATTTTTTTTTTCTTTTATTTCATTTTGGTGAGTGCCTATGTTGCTGAAAGCAATTCATTTATTTAATTTTCTTCAATCTGATCAGCAGTAAATTAGAAAAAATAAAATTTGTAGAACAATTAAAAAAAAAATATTACTCTATAACTATAAGTACAAAACCAAAAGAAGGTACAAAAAAACATGCTCATTTATATAATATAGAATAATACAAGTTAGCAAAATGAACTGGAATGTTATCTTTCATACTCACACAAAAGCAGCTTTTCCTTCCTCCAAAGTGTGCCCTTTAGTCCCTGTGCCTGATTTTCCACAGAGGCACATGATAAGGCCACATTTGTTGACAAAATAACAAGTGACATCCACTGCTAGCAGCAGGAGTATAAATACTACAACTAGGATTCCTGCCCAGAGCATGATGTTCATGGAGAAAGGTCCATCATCACCCAAATCTGCCAGACAAAAGACGAAACACAATGAAATACAAATACAAAAAACTGGAGCCCGACTCAGTTATGATAGATTAATTAGAGCTAAAATTCTACAGGAACTTTAATAAAAATAGAAAACGTACCTGCAGCAAAGTATTAACTGATAATCGGGTCGTCTTGAATTGATTTTAGACATACAAGTCGTCAGTTTGTGTGTTAGTGGTGCTTATTAAGATGAATGTTGAGAATTTTACACCAAAGAAAATGTTTTTATGTAAAAAAAAAAAAAAAAAAAAAAAAAAATGTAAGTTTATCTATTTTCAACCTATTTATTTCATATTAGAAAAACAGAGTTTACAGTGTTTTGTAGGTTACATGCAGGGTAACATTTTCCGAAAATATAACAACAAAAACTGAATTCTTTATTCTTTTCCTTAAACTATCCTTAGTTGTAACAGAATTCCTATACAGTATTTAAATATTTACATCAATCAGCCATAACATTATGACTACTTACAAACAGCCACTAACACTCCTAACATTACACATTGCTTTGCTTGGACAGACCTGCATTCAGACACACAAACTTGTTATTTTGATACCTGGAATAATTTTTTTTTTTTTTTTTACAGACAGCTGAATGTTTTATATGACTGGGATTTGGATTATTGGCTGAATTAGGCAAGGGTCAGTATGGGATTTGATGACCTTCGGTAAAAACATCAGATTATGATGGGTTTGTCACAAAAAAACATATATTGTAATCAGAAAAGCAAAATTTTTACAGTTGAAATGATAAAACATTGATTAACCTACTACAGTAAGGTTACGTATAATAGCTCCTGTTTATTCAGTCTTTTGAATATTGATACACAGACTTGAACAAATAATAAAGAATAAGCACCTCTTAAATGTTGTAATACTCCTGTGTTTATTGTGCATAATATTATACTTATTGTAAACTTATATTAACTATTTAATTGCTTAACAGACATGCCCCATTCAGTAAAATGTTGTCAACCTAATAACAGTAATACATGGAGAAGTTTAAAGTCCACATCAATGCAATTTTTGCTACCTTTTTTCATGTGGCAATTTATTGACACACTAAAGCAACAGGTGGGGGAGGTGCCAAGCTGTGTTACTCTAAATGTAGAAAGCCATATTAAATCTCCCACTTTCTCTGGTACAATAACATTGTTTTAGGCCAGAGGAGCAGTATTCAAAAATAATTTTGTGTTTCTATCACCCATTAATACCTTCCTTATGTTATTTCTTACCCTTAAAGGGATAGTTCGGGATTTTTGACATGAATCTGTATGGCATCCCCATCACCAGTGTCATGCAATCACACTGACTTACCCCTGGCAGCGTCCTGTGAGCAGAGTTCTCGTCCAGCTTTGGTCAAGCCGAAAGTAGTCAAGCAGGTTTGCTAGACCCAGCGAAATAAAACGTTTCTCTTCCCAAAACATTATGTGTTCAAAAGAGTGATATTTTTGCATCCCAAAAACATTGTAGTGGAAAAAGTCACACGTCGTTATCACTTTGTCCTATTTTCTCTCTGTTCGTATCAGTGCGCGCCGTCATTCTGACAGCGAGCTCAACAACAGCCAGATGCATGTCTCGCTCCGCCTATCTCCTAGCTAGGCGGAGCGAGACATGCATCTGGCTGTTGTCAGGTTAGTAGGCCCTAGCTGTCAGGTCATGGTGTCGCGCGCACTGATACGAACAGAGAGAAAATAGGACCAAGTGATAACGACGTGTGACTTTTTCCACTACAATGTTTTTGGGATGCAAAAATATCGCTCTTTTGAACACATAATGTTTTGGGAAGAGAAACGTTTTATTTCGCTGGGTCTAGCAAACCTGCCGGACTACTTTCGGCTTGACCAAAGCTGGACGAGAACTCTGCTCACAGGATGCTGCCAGGGGTAAGTCAGTGTGATTGCATGACACTGGTGATGGGGATGCCATACGGATTCATGTCAAAAATCCCGAACTATCCCTTTAAGTGACGTTTCAGAGCTCTAGTTCAGATTAAAATTTTACTTAGTACAAACATGTTAATTAACAGTTGTTGATTTGTTTTTTTTGTTTATCAATCATTTGTCAAATACTTACAGGCTTTTTGTTTGGTTGATTCGAACACGGTTGGTAAAAAAATGGGTGTTGATGTATCACTTTGTGTAAGAATAATACATAATTTGTTGCCTGTGAAACATATTTTAATGCATATCCTTCTCTAATGAACAAACAGACCCATGCCTAAAGTTAATAAGTCCGCTAGGTTACAAAAGATAGAGTGCTGTAAAAAAGTATAGCCTACTTCATGTTGTCATACAGGTTCTGTTTGAGTTGTTTATGGATTCTGCAGGTCTGGCAGTAATCAGGCATTTTTAGGCTAAAATTAATCAAAAACTACTTAATTGCTGGTCTTTTAAGATTAAAATAAAGATGGAAATTTTTTTCCCACTGGATTTTTAGCATTTTACTTTGATGTTCTGAAATACTTAAACGGCAAAAAACAGATACAGCAGAATAAATCTGTTAGGAGGAGGGGGACTTTTTTACAGCACTGTAGCTGAATAAAGCACCTTCCAAATATAAATATATAAAAACATAAAGTCATTGTGTGGACATCAGATTAAAAACATTTGCACAAGAAAACATGTAATAATCTGCACAAAAATAAATGTTCTGTATTTCAGTAAACATTTTGAGAATCTCTGCCAATATAAACAGTTAAAAAGTTTTTTTTTGTTTTTTTCCCAGGGCTATTAGTGTTAATGATCCAAACATTAAGAGACAATTTTATGAACCATGAAGAAATATAATGCAGTGTTTATGTAAACAGAAAGGTTCAGTACTTGGTTTTTACTCGACTCTGTGCTACTTTAAAAAAAAAAACAACTTATATTATAAGTCCACCTCTGTTCATAACTGTAAACTTGCACTTCTCTCTGTTGTCTAGAGCTGACGACTATCTGTGCTAATGCTGAGCAGAGTGAATCTGTGGGAGGCGAAGGTTTTCCACTGCCTTTGGTTCATTAAATCTGTCTGGTCTGTTCTGAAACCACACAACAACCGTTTCTCCACCATGACAGAAACGGATCTGTCATGGAGAAAGTCTGTTATAAGTGGTAAAAAACGTCCAGAGAGAAAGCCAGGCCAGAGAAAAGGCATGCTCTCCTCTACTGTTAAGGTGTAAATCCCAGACGTGAACTATGATAGCAGGAGAACAGCGATGAGGGACGAGATGAGTGATACCAAAGTGCATGTCACGGATGAGCTGCCCTGAGTGGCTGTGGGTTGAGACATCACAAACCAGACCAAAATGCAAACAGGTCAGGACGAAAATGTTCACGTGGGCCCCACCACACGAATATCCAGGATCAGGAGAGAGAGCAGGAACAATGAGCGAGGAGATGAAAACAGAAAAGGAGAATAAAGGGAGGAAATGAAAGCACATAAAGAGGAAAAAAAGAGAAGGGTGGGGAAAACAGAGGAAGAGAGAGAGAGAGTGAAAAAATGCTTCAGGTCTGAAAACCAAAAGTGAAAAATAACAAAAAATAAGAAAACAGATTTCTCGCATTGAGGGAAGAAAAAAAAGGCAGCAACACATCAAAGCAAAAGCACATCACAAAGGGAGAAAAAAAACAACAATCCACACCGTGTTGACTGGATGGTGACTCAGTGGCAGTGAGTGGAAAATGCTTTAGTTTGGGAAATGAATAAAAAAAAAAAGTGAGAGGAAGACATAATGGCCTGTTGCGATACTTCAGCGAAGCACCCGACAGGGTCTAGCACATACAGGCAATTTGACAGGCTGTGTGGGTTTTCTACTGTTAGTAAAATGCCGCTTCAGCTGCAGTTAGGACCTCTCTAGCCGTGTTAATTAGCAGTTATTTAACAGACTCCATTAAAAAAGATACAAACTATTTTATTTACTTGGTTAAAATTATATAGAGGCTACAGGAAGCAATTGATGAAAACATCCTCCGTGAAACACAAACTTAAGCTTATTCAGTCACGCCCAAAAACAGGAAATGAAAATTCTTTTTTTGGCTGACCTATATCAGGGAAGTCTACAGCTGCTGCAAGAAAGCATTCGGCCTTTAAAGTTTACTTTTGGTTTTGTTTTTCTGTTTCATATCATTAAGTAAGTTTTACTGTCAGACAAAGAAACTGAGAGACAAAGGCTGTTAAACCCAACCTGGCCCTGTGTGGTAGTGTGGTGGTCCATGGCTGATGCTGCTTAAACCGCCTAGATAATTCGCCAGGCTTTTTGGGATCATCATTCTGCTATCTAACAGAAAAGTACCAAAAGAAAATTCGGGCTACCAGTTTGTTAAATCAAAATAAAGACTATTTAGGTTATATCATATTATGTTATACAGCAGAACAATGAGCACACCAACAAGTTCACATCCAAAAAGTTCAGTCAAGTCAGAGTTTAGGGTTTAGATGACATGGGTTCACGTTAAATTGACTTTTCATAGTCCGAAACCATCAAATTACTGTAACTAAATTACAGCCATTCAACAAAGTAGCACAAATTTCTTCCGCATGATGTGAAACAATCATGGCCGCCAAGCCTTTGCCCACCACAACCAGTTATCAGGATTAAGGTGAAAATATATTTTCACATAAAGCCAAGTTTTTATGGGAAGATCTATTTAAACTAATTTATTATCAGAAAACTGTTTTTTTAAATCCTTCTGGTTATCTTTGTCTGATATTAAAATCCATTAAAAAAAGAAGAAATCTGTAGGAAAACGTGTTTTTTCACAAAGCTGTATTTTTCTCTCTAGTTAGGGTTTGGATTCACATTATACCTGGACAGAGCCAGGTTTATTAAGAGGTTACCTGGGATGGCCTCTGGCTCTGCAGATGTCCTGAAGGACATGGTGGCAGGTGGGGACTTCCCCTTCTGGTTCTCAGCCACCACATACACATCATAGTCTGTGTCCCACTCTAATCCCTGCAGGATGACGTAATCACTGCCACTGGGCATCCGGATTTCGGGCTTCCACACTGATGCCTGGATCTAAGGACAAAGATCAATATAACCTAAACACTATCAAAGTAGATGATGAGTATTGCTCATAGCTGGTGCATTTGCAATCGTCAGGTAAAATCTCACTAAAAAAGAAAAGGCTGTTGCTTTGAAAGTTGGGATTAAGTATTACCTAGGATATATAATGGGGAAGAGCCAGTATGAATGGATTCTATCTTAAAGGCATAATTGTTAATATGAATAACATTGCCTATTTCAATGTGATCTATGTTAAACCTGAAATGAGGCTAGGCTTTTTCAAAGCTTATAAATTTAACATAACTAAATAGTTAACTCACTGGTTTGTAGCGGATCAGGTAATGCAGGATGGGAGATCCGCCATCATCCTGCTTAATCCAGCTGACTTTGAGGGAGTTACCTTTAGGCTGCAGTGATCCCTCAAGTTTAGGAGGGTTTGGATTTCCTAAAGGCACACACATACACACATGCACAAAAATAAATAAATAAATAAATAAATAAATAAATAAAAACATATATGAAGTTTGATTTGTAAGAAAGGTCAGAGGTAATTATGTTTGCTGACCACTAAATTAAAGTTTGATACTAGAGACTCTTCCTGCTGTTGTTCTCTTATTCAGTTGACCTTTAATCACTTGTCCCAAGATGCTATGTGTCAAGTCACACTAATTAGCAAATGACCCACAAACACATGCTTATTTGATTCATCCAAGCTGCCTTGTATTGCTGCAGTTGCTGAGTGACAGTCAGCGGTGTAAAGAATGCTAAAGGGACCAGTTGGGATGAAATATCCAGTTTCTTAGGAGTCATAAATTCAGAGCATTTAACATTTTTTGTATGGCTGAACAGTATTTATTTAGATATATGAACATTTTAAGAATTTAAATATGATGCTAGATATTTTAGGTCTTCATATCCTGGTTGTTTAAAATGTTTAAATCTTCAAAAAGACACAAAATACTGTTGCTATAATACAGAATCTATCTCTGCCATATATAGTGCTGCCCAAATTTATTGGCACTTCTGGCAAAGATGTGTGAAAATCTTTCAAAACTTTTTTTTTTATCTTTTTTTTCACTAATATAATTTAACAAAAACTAAAAATGTCTTCCAAAGAGCTGTTTGGCATGAAGATAGGTTGTTATGGAGGCATATTTCTCCCAAGATGCAACTCTTTGCTGTATGTCTCCAAATAGTTATAGCCTCCCTTACTATCCAGCTCAATGCAAGAAAAAACCTGTCATTGTCCAACTTAATACAAGGTGGTTGAAAACAACATTTATTCACCTTGGAAAATAAATCACTGTAGCTATATCTATTTTAAAGGGATTTCATAGCTGTAACAATAAAGTCAATGGTGATTAAAACAAACAATATAATAATGGTGTTAACAACTCCCCTCCATTAAATAAAGGAACTTGAATTTTAAAAGGTTAGATTCTTATAAATGTGCCAATATAATTAAAAACACAGAAAATGCTTTGGTTAAAACAGCTTGGAAAAATGTGGAGATCAGTGTCAGCTAGTTGCTGATTATGCAAAAGATCTAAATTAGGCAACTTTGTGATGAGCTAAACACTTGACTTATTGAAAGCTCTTGCAGGGGCCCTTTAAGATAATCTCATAAAACATTGCTTTCAAGATCCTTTAAATTTAAAAAATGTATAATTGTTTTGAACTACCCGATCTCAGATAAAAGTTAATGACACTGCCAAAATCTTCTTTGTACTTTTTAGAGAGCAAATGTTTAACTAATAATCTAAACAGTTCTCTTAATTCCAAAAGTTACAGCCTAACTAAATTGGTCATTTTCTACATGAAAATCAATCCATCTCTGTAACCCAAATCATTTTGTTCAACTTAATAATAAAGCTTTTCACCTAGGTTAATCTTAACAGCTGTCATATTATTGCATCTAAAATTCAGATCAAGTTAGTGAATCTAACTGTAGTGAATGAATCTTAGAGGGTTAATGTGGAAACAACAATATGGAAAATTAATTATCAAATTATTGGACCAGTTTGAATGAAAACCAGAGAGAAAGGGATGACAGCAGGATTATATATAGTGGATTAAAATGAACAATGATTCTTTGTAATTATGAAAAAGATATTTCATTACATACTTGATTTACTGTAATCCGTACGACTGACAAAGAGCTACCATCCCTCATGTGGCAGACTATCAATAGTAGTACAGCACCATTAAGAGCTCTGGTTTTCCCTCAGTTTTTTCTTTCTCAAGATTCCCACATTGATTAATGTATTAGATGTGAGAGTAAAAACACAAAATGAGTTTTTTTAATTTTCTTATTCATCAGCGGAGATTAGGAACTACAGGTGCTGGTCATAAAATTAGAATATCATGAAAAAGTAGATTGATTTCAGTAATTCCATTTAAAAAGTGAAACTTGTATATTATATTCATACATTACATACAAACTCATATATTTCAGATGTTTATTTTGTTTAATTTTGATGATTACAAATGACAACAAATGAAAATCTCAAATTAATCATATCAGAAAATTAGAATATTACTGAAGACCAATAAAACCAAAGGATTTATAGAAATGTTGGCCAACTGAAAAGTATGAACATGAAAAGTATGAGCATGTACAGCACTCAGTATTTAGTTGGGCCTCCTTTGGCCTGTATTACTGCAGCAATGCGGCGTGGCATGGAGTCGATCAGTCTGTGGCACTGCTCAGGTGTTATGATAGCCCAGGTTGCTCTAATAGTGGCTTTTAGCTCTTCTGAATTGTTGGGTCTGGTGTATTGCATCTTCTTCTTCACAATACCCCATAGATTTTCTATGGGGTTAAGGTCAGGAGAGTTTGCTGGCCAATTAAGAACAGGGATACCATGGTCCTTCAACCAGGTACTGGTAGCTTTGGCACTGTGTGCAGGTGCCAAGTCCTGTTGGAAAATGAAATCTGCATCTCCAAAAAGTTGGTCAGCTGCAGGAAGCATGAAGTGCTCTAAAACTTCCTGGTATGTGGCTGCGTTGACCCTGGACCTCAGAAAACACAATGGACCAACACCAGCAGATGACATGGCACCCCAAACCATCACTGACTGTGGAAACTTTACACTGGACTTCAAGCAACGTGGATGAAGTGCCTCTCTTCTTTTCCTCCAGACTCTGGGACCTTGATTTCCAAAGGAAATGCAAAATTTACTTTCATCAGAGAACATGACTTTGGACCACTCACCAGCAGTCCAGTCCTGTTTCTCTTTAGACGCTTCTGACGCTGTCTGTGGTTCAAGAGTGGCTTGACACAAGGAATGCGACAGCAGAAACCCATGTCTTTCATACGTCTGTGTGTGGTGGTTCTTGAAGCACTCACTCCAGCTGCAGTCCACTCTTTGTGAATCTCCCCCACATTTTTGAAGGGGTTTTGTTTCACAATCCTCTCCAGGGTGCGGTTATCTCTCTTGCTTGTACACTTTTTTCGACCACATCTTTTCCTTCCCTTCGCCTCTCTATTAATGTGCTTGGACACTGAGCTCTGTGAACAGCCAGCCTCTTTAGCGATGACCTTTTGTGTCTTGCCCTCCTTGTGCAAGGTGTCGATGGTCGTCTTTTGGACAACTGTCAAGTCAGCAGTCTTCCCCATGATTGTGTAGCCTATAGAACTAGACTGAAAGACCATTTAAAGGCTTTTGCAGGTGGTTTGAGTTAATTAGCTGATTAGAGTGTGGCACCAGGGGCCATCAATTTTGAACCTTTTCACAATATTCTAATTTTCTGATATGATGAATTTGAGATTTTCATTTGTTGTCATTTGTAATCATCAAAATTAAACAAAATAAACATCTGAAATATATGAGTTTGTATGTAATGTATGAATATAATATACAAGTTTCACTTTTTAAATGGAATTACTGAAATCAATCTACTTTTTCATGATATTCTAATTTTATGACCAGCACCTGTATCATCCAAGAAAACTTCAGGCTAAGTTACCTTCTGCAGAGTTGAAGAAATCATCACCACCATGCAAGTCAAATGACAGGTACAGGCACATGAAATGACATGTGAGTAATTCAACTATTAAAAGGACACACTTCAAAGTCATACATTGCCTTACAAAAATGGTCAGAGCTATTTCTTCATAATTTGTCAAATTACCAACCAGTAACTTATAAATATTCTATTTGACACAGTAAAGAATAGGCAGGAAGTGGAACCGTAGTGTGGCATGCATTTCCCTTCACTGGCATGAAATCCAGTGAAACCCCCATCAAACGCTACATATGTCTTACAACTTGAATGGATATATGTGTTACAATGACTTTCACATTAGCATGTTATTTGTAAAGATACATGGGTAAAATATTCCCTTAAAGACTAATTTCAGTAAAAGGAGATTTCCACAAACTCAGGTTGATTACAAATACACACAAAAAAAATGTTTATTTCATTAAACAACAACTATAAAATCTATTTTTCACTAAATTTACACTTTTCTGCAGCCAATTGTTCATTTATTTCATAACGTCTGAATACAACACAAGGTTCTTTGTGGTGGTAAGATGACAACCAAATACAAAACAGCTCTGAAAACCTTTGCAGGTCTTTGCAGCAGATGACAAAATAGAGGTAAAAGTAAAGAAGAGAAAAAACTAGGTGACCCTAAGACAAACTAAACAGACTAAATAACAGCAAAGCTATAAACATTCTGCTAAAATGCACTTTAATTCCTCTGTTTGGGTTCTGAATGACAGAAGTGCAACAGACATCAAACAACTTTACATCCTGATTTAGCAGAATTAATCCTTCACAAGGCAGCAGATTAATCAATGCTGATGGGCCTAATCCAAATGCAAATATTCCCAAAACTTATCCCCAAAGCAGCTGAAACCAGGGGCAAAAATGTGCAGCTTTTGAAATATAGATATTTCCCGTTAATTCATCAGAGTTTTACAAAGCCAATTAGTTTGCAAGCTCCAAACCAGAATTACATTATTATTCATATTTGGATATATCAGATAAAACTCATGGGATGAAAGTAAAATAAAATCTGTTCATGTCCCACAGAGGAGTTTGCAGTGAAAATGGGGACATGTGAGGTCACAGATGCAGGAGGAGCTTATCAGCTTCTGCAATGCCCTAAAGTTACTACAAATGTTTCTAATCAGCAGGAGGGGGACTAGGTTCTCCTCTAAGGAGAAAGAAACAGCTACAGCTACTTCTATCATCACCACTACTAAACAAACCTGTGCTGTCAGTGAAAAAATGAAAAAGGTCGTCTAGAGACAGGATAAAACAAAAAAAGTAATCAAAATCAGTTTTCTACACAAATAACCACCTGAATCTAAACAATATGAACTTATTGAAAATATGCGAAGTCTAATTTCTGGCAGTTTGCCAAAAAAGGGTAGCATTAAAAGAAGTGGATTCCTTTTCCTTTTACAAAAATAAACTCAACTCTAAATTGTATCGTATTATCAGAAAATATGTTTTAAATTGATTTTATGTAAATTAGAGGAATACTACAAATGCAATCACCAATAAAGCATATAGGTTTATTTCAATAAACATTTACTACAAAACAGAGCAAATGGTTTTTATTTGATTGTCCCTGGAATGAAGATTAACTAGAGCTAAAACTAAACCTAAATCTGAATAAAGACGGATGGATCACTTACTTCTGCTAATGGGGGCTGAAGAACATAACAGAGAAAATGAACAAATGGATATAAAAATTAGTGATTTCAAAAAAAGGAAATGAAAGAAACACAGCATGGAGCCATACCTCTCACCAACCAACAGAGGGCGGTAAACACTAAAGCATGGGATCTGGATTCAATGCATGTCAAAGCCACACCAATAAGCATAACATGATAGCTAACAAATAAAGTCATCAGGTATAGGATAACGTATAAAAAAGAGAAGGTATAACATCACAACTTATATTTTATTTGTAAAATACTTCAACATAGTATAACTGGTTACTTTTGATGCTACTTTTCATAAACTTTGCACACTAGTGACACAACCTGTAGTATCAGCATCTGTACCAGCAGAGGAACAACAGATTCAGAGCTAAAACCAACCATCCAAACCCTAAACACACAAATCTACACACCTGAAAAAATTCATCTCTCAGATCCAGTGTAGAGCACTGAAAAGCCTTCTACAGGTGTATCCCAATAAATAAGCAGACCATGTAAACGTTTTTTTGGACAAATGCAAATCCTCAAAGGAAAAATTCTATTTTAATTTCGACTTCCTGGTTGTACTTTTACTGGATATTATCATTGTTCAATTAGAGCTAATGAAAGAAAATACACTAGTCATAGTTGTAATTTTACCAATATAAATGTTTTTATAATTATGTGCATGCCCTGTTAAGTTCTGCACCTTTTTGCATGATTTACTGCATCAAAGCATCTACTGTTTGGTCAGTTTGTCAGACTTTTTATTTTTTTAAAGGGAATATTGCTATAGACTATACATTTGAAAAAACCCAGGGGACCAACACCATTAGATGACAGGCCTCCATAATCATCACTTATTGGAAACATAATACTGGACGTTAAGCAACATGGACTCCGTCCTTATTATATTCCTTGTCCAGATGTTGGACAAAGCAAAATTATATTACATTTAAAAATAGGACCACTAAACCAAAATCCAGTTATTTTTTCCCTTAACACCAGAATAAAACGATTGGGATGTTGCATTTAGGTTAGGAGTGGCTTAACACATGAATAAACCTGTGCTCTTTGACCTCTGATCCTAAATCTGAAACACTTCTTCCTTCCACTTGCGTTTCCAGCATTGTGTAGGATAAAGTCCTCTGTGAGAAGCTAGCTTGTTAAGCAATTAGCCTCTGTGACCTATCTATGTTGTGGAGTTTTTCACTTGCCAGGTTGCCAAGTCAGCCGTTTCCCCCATCAATGTTTAGAGTGTTGCATTACACTTCAGCTTCAGTCTTAATATATTGTAGTATATTCAAACTTTTAGAGAAATCAGAGGCGCAGTGGGTAGCAGTGCTGCCTTGCAGCAGGAATGTTCTAGGTTCGATTCCCGGACCGGGTTCTTTCTGCATGGAGTTTGCATGTTCTCCCTGAGCATGCATGGATTCTCTCTGGGTACTCCAGCTTCCTCCCACAGTCCAAAAACATTATAATTGGCTTCTCAAAATTCTCCTTAGGTGTGAGTGTGTGTGTGAATGGTTGTTTGTCCTTTTTGTCTCTGTGATGGACTGGTGACCTGTCCAGAGTGTAACCTTCCTTTTCGCCTAATGATAGCTGGAGATAGGCACCAGCACCTATCTCGACCCAATAGGGATAAGTGTAATCGAAAATTGATGGATGGATGGATAGCTGCAAGCGACAATCATCATGATGCAAACTGATAAAGCCTTAGATATATGAACTGGGTGTGATAATCCTTTAAAAAATACAAGTTTCAACTTTTGAATGAATCTACTAAAACAGATCAACTTTTCACTTCAGTAAATCCTTCCCAGACTGGTAAGAAATGTTTGAATGCCAAAATATCTTCAGTACTATGCTACTGGTTGGGCTTCAGTCGCTGTGTGGTGCATTAAAGAGGAGGGAAATCAAATCCTATTGTTATAAACTGGACAATAATTTATGTGAAAATACTACTTTGGTAAGCAACTATGCTTTCTGACAAATTCATCAAGGAATTATCGGAGTAATAAATATATAAGGATGGTTTTAAATAACTGCTTTATGATTTCCTAGATGATTACATGTTCCTGTGGAGAAGTAAAAATGACAAATACAGCAGCTGACAAAATTCCTGCAGACATGTTGAGAAGGAAGGACTGCAAATGTCTTTTAAATTAAACCTTTTTATAAGTTAAACTGTCCAAACATCTCTGACACCAGCCAATAATGTGTTTATATAAATCCTCTGCAGGTTATAGGTTTAAAAAACTAAAAGTGGATAAAAGCTTTACACTGTGTTGTAAACTGTGCACTTACGAACAGGCTCCGTCTTGAAGAACTGGACAGGGCTGCTCTCTCCTTCACCCTTGCCATTAATGGCTGAAAGCTTCACCTCGTAGCGGCTCTCTGGCTTCAGGCCCGTAATTGTCACTTCATTGATGAATCCTGTTACATTATCAAAGACGGTGCAATTTCTGTTGAGAACACCTTGATAATTTTGATGAGCACAACAATAAAGAAAATCCCCTGTTCCAACAATACATGCATAATGAATTGGCACAGAGGCAGATACTGATTAGTTGGATTCTCATTTCTACCTAAAAAAAAAACATTTAAACAACTGATTGATCCGTTTCCAGATACACCCTATATGAAAACAAGAATAATAGTGACAATGGCCTAATACTCCACAATCAAGCAAAGAATTCATTTGTCAAGTAATTGATTATCATAAGAGCTAAAATATATGCAATTAATACAGAAATTACCAAATTCTATTTCATCTTTCAGATGTTTCTTTAACACACGCATCGAATTTGAGTAAAAGGTTATTATGTTTCAAATTATGATAAACAATAATTATTTCAATATTAAGATATTTAACACAGAAATACTATACTACAATACTAAACCATACTCAGTTACAATGTGTAATTTCTTTTTTCAAATTCTTCCATTTTTAAGTATTTATCGATCTAACGAATTGTGACCCAATAACATTGAGCAATGCAGTGTTTTTTTCTGAACTCATTCACTTTAAAACATTTCACTTATTTTACATTCAGCAATAGAGCTTTACTGTGATGATTTATTCGGCAACTATAGACATAACTGTTAGATAATTGCACAATTTGGTCTAATTTCTGCAGAATTCTAATTAAACCTTGAAGTGGTTTATTACGGTAAAAGTATAAGGTCTGTATTGTTTTTTTAATCCATTTATTGAGAGGAACTAACTTTTTTTTATTTTTTTTATTTCACCAGTTTTTTAAGTTTGACAAAATATTGACAAAGGAACATAAAACCTATTCTAATACTATTAGGTCTGTTTTTAAATGTGCTTTTACCATCTGTGACCTCGTAGACCTTCTGAATCCAACTGCCCCTGCCCTGCATCCTCCACTGAGCTCTGTACTTCAGAACAGGAACGCCTCCGAGAGATTCTGGCTCCCCAAACTGGATCAGAGCAGTGGTGGAGAAAGGCCTCACCTCATTGAATACTACAGCTGATGGAACCTCTGTAAAATGATAAAAAATATATTGCTTTAGCCACAGAAACCACAAGATTTTACCCTCTCAGCTCTTTTAGTACCTGTTCTTCCATTACAGTGAGAAACGGAGCTCTTTAAAGGTGGGGTGAAGAGTTAATTAATAAAAGGAATAGAGCTTTCATTTTTTCACAGCAAGGAGTTGAGGGTTATAATAAATAAATGGCAAAACATTTGATCATATAGTTCAGTGAAATCAGAGAACGCGCTATTGCAACTGCCTTAGCAACCGAATGATTCACAATACCAGCTTTATACCAGGACATTGCTCTTGTCTGGCAGAAGTTAGAGGCCGTGTTTTGGTTTTGATAGATGAATTTCGGCTGTAATCTGTAATGACATGGAGAAGTTTAGCACTTCATTGTTCACAATAGGGTAGTGGGCTCTTTGAGAGGCCTAAAAAGAAGTTTGGAGGACGGATTTGGACAAGAAGACAATTCAGCATCTGACGGGAAGAGAGATGCAGTTGCAAATCTATTTGGGGGAAATGCAAAATAAAATCTCTAAATCCCAAGGGAACAGTCAGTTTTGCCGCTTTTGAATTTACACAGTGCATACATTATATATATAAAAAAAAAAAAAAACTGTTTTCTCACCCCTCGTGGGGTGGTATGTGTCATCCTCAAGCTCGGGTCCTCTACCAGAGGCCTGGGAGTTTGAGGGTTCTGCGCAGTATCTTAGCTGTTCCTAGGACTGCGTTGTTCTGGACAGAGACCTCTGATGTTTTACCTGGAATCTGCTGTAGCCACTCTCCCAGTTTGGGGGTCACAGCCCCCAGTGCTCCAATTACCACTGGCACCACTGCTGCTCTTACTTTCCACATCTTTTCTAGCTCCTCCTTCAGTCCTTGGTATTTCTCAAGCTTCTCGTGTTCTTTCTTCTTGATGTTGCTGTCGCTTGGGATTGCCACATCTATCACTACTGCCTTCTTCTGCTGTTTGTCGATCAACACGATGTCTGGTTGGTTAGCCATCACCTGTTTGTCAGTCTGGATCTTGAAGTCCCATAGGATCTTAGCTCGGTCATTCTCAACTACCTTAGGAGGTGTCTTCCATTTTGACCTTGGGACTTCCAGCCCATACTCATGGCAGATGTTCCTGTACACTATGACAGCTACCTGGTTGTGGCGTTCCATGTATGCACTTCCTGCCTGCATTTTACACCCCGCTGTTATGTGCTGTATTGTTTCAGGGGCATCTTTGCACAGTCTGCATCGGGGGTCCTGCCTGGTGTGGTAGACCCCGGCCTCTATTGATCTTGTACTGAGTGCCTGTTCTTGTGCTGCCATGATTAGTGCCTCTGTGCTGTCCTTCAGTCCAGCCTTTTCCAGCCACTGGTAGGATTTTTTGATATCAGCCACTTCTTCTATTTGTCTGTGGTATACGCCGTGCAGCGGCTTGTCCCTCCATGATGGTTCTCCTTCCTCTTTCTTGTCCTCATTTTCGGTTTTCTCCTGCCTGAGGTACTCACCAAGCCATTTGTCTTTGGGGGCCATCTTTCTGATGTACTCCTGGATCTTAGTTGTTTCATCCTGGACAGTGGTCTTGACACTCACTAGCCCTCGGCCTCCCTCGCTACGCTTGGTGTACAGTCTCAGAGTGCTGGATTTGGGGTGGAACCCTCCATGCATTGTGAGGAGCTTTCTCGTCTTGATGTCAGTAGCCTCTATCTCCTCCTTTGGCCAGTTTATTATACCAGTGGGGTATCTGATGACTGGTAGGGCATATGTGTTGATGGCTTGGATCTTGTTTTTCCCATTCAGCTGGCTTTTCAGGACCTGCCTTACTCTTTGTAGGTATTTAGCTGTGGCAGTCTTTCTTGCCATCTCCTCGTGGTTTCCGTTAGCCTGTGGCACCCCAAGGTATTTGTAGCTGTCCTGAACATCTGTTATGTGGCCTTCTGGTAGTTCAACCCCCTCGGTTCTGATCATCTTCCCTCTCTTTGAGACCATGCGACCGCACTTGTCCAGTCCGAATGACATCCCAATGTCGTTGCTGTAGATCCTGGTAGTGTGGATCAGTGAGTCGATGTCTCGCTCACTCCTGGCATACAGCTTGATGTCATCCATGTAGAGGAGGTGACTGATGATTGTTCCGCTTCGGAATTGGTATCCGTAGCCAGTCTTTGTGATGATCTGGCTGAGGGGGTTAAGGCCTATGCAGAACAGCAGCGGGGATAGTGCATCGCCTTGGTATATGCCGCACTTGATGGTGACTTGTGCTATTGGCTTTGCATTGGCTTCCAGACTTGTTTTCCACAGCTTCATTGAGTTCTTGATGAAGGCTATTAGAGTCCTGTTGATCTTGTACATTTCCAGGCATTCCAGTATCCATGTATGTGGCATTGAGTCATAGGCTTTCTTATAGTCAATCCAGGCAGTGCACAGATTTGTCTGCCTGGTCCTACAGTCTCGGGTGACTGCTCTATCCACTAGTAGCTGGTGCTTGGCTCCTCTGGTGTTGCTTCCTATTCCCTTCTGGGCAGGGTGCATGTATTGAGCCATGTGCCTATTCATCTTAGCCGCTATGATGCCTGACAGGAGCTTCCATGTTGTACATAGGCAAGTTATTGGCCGGTAGTTGGATGGGGTTGTTCCCTTCTGCGGATCCTTCATGATCAGGATTGTCCGTCCTTGGGTTAGCCATTCTGGGTGGGTCCCATCCATCAGCAGTTGGTTCATTTGTGCTGCGAGGCGTGCATGAAGTGCGGTTAGTTTTTTCAGCCAGTAGGTGTGGACCATGTCAGGGCCTGGTGCTGTCCAGCTCTTCAAACCTGCCGCTCTTTCTTGGACATCTGCCGTTGTAATGGTTACTGGTTCTTGTTCTGGGAGATTGCTGTGATCTGTTCTTAGATCTTCCAGCCACTGAGCATTGGTGTTGTGGGATGCCTCCTTCTCCCATATGTTTCTCCAGTACTGTTCAGTCTCAGCCCTGGGTGGATCTGATCTTGAATTACCCTGCCACTGTGAGTACACTTTGGATGGGTTGGTGGAGAACACCTGGTTTATTCTCCTGGCTTCTGCTTCTCCCTTGTATCTCTTTAGGTGGGTGGCCAGGGCGGCGAGTCTTTGCTTGGCAGTTTCCAGAGCCTCAGGGATCGACAGCTTGTTGTACTTAGGTAACCTCTTCCCTACACCTTTCTGCAGGTCTGAGAGCTGACTAACCTCTCTTCGTGTTGCCTTGATCTTGGCTTCCAGCCTTCTTCTCCATGGGGGCTCTGCTTTGTGGCCTGTGGTGTTTATCTTATGGCCAAGCATCTCTAGGATCACTGTAGCTGTGGCATAGGTCAGCTCATTGGTTTCAGTGATGTCCTTAGTAGGGATAGTATGTAGTGCTGCATTTACATCTTCTAGAAGGCTTTCAGAGGGTACTCTGTCACTTAGCCTTGGCAGTCTTGGTCGTCGTACTAGGGGATCCAGTTTCGTTATGATCTGCTGTCGCAGGTCAGCTGCCCTTACGTTTAGTGGGCCTGTTGTAGTTGGGGCTGGGGGCCCAATCTCTGTGTGTTGGGATGATGATATTTCCCTACTGACCTGTTGTCCTGACTCCCCCTTGCCGCAGCATGTCAGTTGTACCTCGTCAATTTCTAGCTGTGAAAGGAGCTGCCGTTTGCGGATGTTGGAACACTGTGTTAGTAGTTGTTTCTTTGTCAATGACGACAATGGTTGTTGGAGCTGCCATAATTCCCATAGTCGTTGGAGCTGCCATATATATATATATATATATATATATATATATATATATATAGCAAGCAGTGCAGCATCGATCAAAAACAATCAATAACACTTTTCAATAAACAGAATACCTTACCTAAAATTGGTTAGAATATAGAGTTTAGAAGGATAGAAAAGCAACAAAGTAGATCCTCTTTGAGACTCAAAAGGCGGATTGGTGCAGCATCTGCCGTGAAGCGGGCGCTGTACCGGTCCGTCGTGGTGAAGAGAGAGCTGAGTCAAAAAGCGAAGCTCTCGATTTACCGGTCGATCTACGTTCCTACCCTCATCTATGGTCATGAACTCTGGGTCATGACCGAAAGAACGAGATCGCGGATACAAGCGGCCGAAATGGGTTTCCTCCGTAGGGTGGCTGGGCTCTCCCTTAGAGATAGGGTGAGAAGCTCGGTCATCCGGGAGGGACTCGGAGTAGAGCCGCTGCTCGTCCACGTCGAGAGGAGCCAGTTGAGGTGGCTTGGGCATCTGTTTAGGATGCCTCCTGGACGCCTCCCTGGTGAGGTGTTTCGGGCACGTCCCCAGGGGGGAGGCCCCGGGGAAGACCCAGGACACGCTGGAGAGACTATGTTTCTCGGCTGGTCTAGGAACGCCTTGGGGTTCCTCCTGAAGAGCTGGAAGAAGTGGCTGGGGAGAGGGAAGTCTGGGCCTCCCTTCTTAAGCTGCTGCCCCCGCGACCCGACCCCGGATAAGCGGAGGAAGATGGATGGATGGAGTTAGTATCTGAATATCTTAAGAACCTAGTATTGATGGTAATTTAAGACAGGAAAAAAAATGCTTTAATGGTTTCACCCCATCTTTAAAAGAACCACAAGGCATTTAAATACGATATACTGTTTGTAGAAGTGACTAACTTAATGATTTATAAGTTTAAAACCCTGGACCCTATTTTAATTAAAACTAAACGACTTCTGTTATCCAAACTCAGATGGTTTTATTTCTCTGTTTGAAGCAGAAACAATGGACATACAGTAAAGGGTAGAATGTGTAGTAAAGGTAAGGGTGGAAATCCAGGAAAAAAGCTCCAGAGAAGCATAAAAAAAAAAATTATAATAAAATAAAAATACACCTCTCTTGATGTAAAATATAAAACAAAGTCACAAAAAATTAAGCAGGCTTTTAACAGTCTTAATAAATAGCCCTTGGGAGCCTAAACTAAGATTGTAGTTACATTAATCCCCCATCAGTAAGTCACAGATTACTCAGTGTTTCCAAAACATGAAAATATTCAACTATAAACAGCGAGTGTTCAGTAATATACAAATATTAATTTTAGCCTTTATGGGAAAAGGAGCTATCTGGGATATGAGGTACATACTGTTCGTAGCAGGAAATAGGGTTTAAATTACAATTCTCCTTTGTTAAAATTACCAGCAAAAAAAAGTTATTGCTCCCCACCCACTTCTCCATCCATTACAGAGAAAATTATATTATTAAAACTGTTTAACTAATTAAAACAGTAATATCCGAGTTCTGCTGGCTTTGTAGGATTCCAAGACTCTGACGTGAGCCCCATTCTGTTGTGCATCACTTTGATCTGGGAGGTAAAAAGGAACACTGTAATTACTGCGCTTCCACAGGTTTCTGCCTAAAGTGAAAAATGCTTCTTTTTTTTTTTCTTTTTCCCCAAGCTGTTCATTTCAGACGGTGGCTTAAAATTGGCATTTTCTCTCTCCCTCTTGTCTTAAGGAGAAAAATACACTCATCTCACCGTGCAACGTAATTAAACTGCCCTTTTTCTAACAAAGCATTCAGCGAATTTCTGCAGATGAACAGTACAAAACGACATTTTTTTCCACACTGCACAAACGTCTTTGATGCAAGAAAGAGATAAGCAATGCTGATAGATGATCTAATGTCTTTTATCTAAATTTATCTTCCATCTAAACAAACAGAGCTGCTTTTTGTCTCATGGTGAATGTCACGGACAAACATTCTAATACAAAGAGTTTAGAATCTGTTTCACAGCCCAGAACAAACCAATATCTAATTCACTACTTGGTTTTAATTAGGTTTACTGCTATTACAAAGGTAAATACATGTCTTAGAGCTCTTACCATAATTTGCAATAAAATGCTTTTGCAACATACTGTACTGACTTGTATATATCATATATTTAAATGTTGTGGTCTAATGCTGTTGTGAGGTTTAAACCACAGCCTTATCACTGACCAGCCTGAATGAGCAGGAACTCCTTGGACTCGGTGCCCATCTCATTGGAGGCGGTGCAGTTATAGCTTCCAAAATCATTTTCAGACTCAGGAGTAATCTGAAGGGTGGAGAAAAATAGAAGAGTAAACATACAGTATGAAGGCAAAACTCACGAACCAACATATGTGTCAAACCTTATGAAGGTGACCTTTGTGTTTGTCCGTTAGAGTAACCTAAAGATTTCTACTGTATGTGCTGCTGTGAGCCTTTATGCTGCTGAATTATTCATGCTTTTTTTCACAATGAGGCTGAAAGAAACCCCCCTCACTCCAACTTGTGCTCATGAAATCTTGATGACACAAGGTGGTGGGGGGTCTGGGATTTGTCTGTGCACATGGAAGAACATTGTCTATGCATTATGTATGTTTACTTTACGTTGCCAAATGCTCTTTAAAGTCAGTTTACCTGTAGGTAGCTGGATGAAGGAGTTCTGAAGATCTTGATATTGGTTGTGTTTGAGTTTGGGAGCTGCAGTCCATCTCTCAGCCAAACAATTGACACATCAGTGGGAAAAGCCTTGACCTCACAGCTGATATTGACCGGATTTCCTTCCCAGGTGTAAACTGCGACTGTTCCATGGATCTTAGGCGTATCTAGGAGTGCAAAACGTGTTTGAGAAAACAGATAAAAAATATCTTTTAACTTATATTAATAAGATAAGATGATAAGATGTTAATGTAAATTCTTTAAGGCGATATAGACAAATGATTCAATGTATTAAAGGTTTTATATTCAGTAATCCAAAGAGTAAGAATCCATCACGCACATGCACTAGGGACTGAAATGTTTCAAATTGGTAGATTGATCAACTGCTGGCAGTCAAGATTTGTTGGCAAATCTTTAGCTTTTTAAGGTGATGAAAGATAAAGGGACTGAACAAAACATAAACAGTTAAAACACCTATAATTTCATAGGACAAATTGTACAAATCTGTGCTAAAACAATGGCCTTGCTGTTAATGTCGCTAAAAAAGGTATTCCTATCAGGGCAAGAGCACTAAATGAAGACAGCCTGTTTCACTGTTGGGGGATACAGTGACTAAGTCAGTTTACTTTGGGCATTTTCTTACCATGATTACCCGTCTCAGTCAAAAGTACTGATGATCGTCCAACAGTCTAACATATAATACTGATTATAAAGCAAAAACTACTTTACTAATTTTTACAAATTAAATGAAATGAAATCATGTACCTACATATCTCAGCAAACATTCTAAGTAATAACTAAGAGGGACCAACTATTTTAGAAAACAACCTTAAGAAGCTTCTACACAAAGTTAACCATCTACTACTATTAAAGTTTGCCGCCGCTTCAATGGATAGCAGAAACATCTCCAAAAGAAAGGTTATATGTTCAAGGGAGATACAGACTGGTTAATCTATTTAAAATATCCCAAATTTGTGATTCAAGAAGTGGAAGTAAGGCTTTCAAACCTATATTAAAAAAAGACAATAATAATTTAACTTAATTGATCTCACAATGGAGACATTTACCTCTGCATTTAACCCATCCCCTTGGGAAGCAGTTGGCTCCCCAAGGGGATGTCACTTTCTTATTAGAATTTTTAATCAAAACAATAAATAAACACCCAAATAATCTACTACATTAATGCTCATTGTGACTGTAAGTACACCTAAACATAATTTTCCCCACTGTAAATATTTATCAGATTGCTAAAAAACTAGGAAATACTTACAGCGGACCTCCAGATAAGCAATTTGTTCATCCTCTCCAATGGCGCTGCGTGCTGTGCAGAGATACTGACCAGCATCTGTATACTTGACATACTTCAGAGTGAGGGAGGACACACGAGCATCACTCCTTACAACCACATTTCCATCTGGGCTCTAAATAGTGCCAGAAAAAAAAAGTTTGGTGTAAAAGGAAACATATCAGTTCATTCATGGTATTACAGCATCGTCACATTAAACTATTTTGCAAAAAGATGATTTTAACCTGAAAGAAGAAAGAAAAGTAAGCCAGCCTTTAATAAAAAGAATGGACTTCAACAAAAGAGGTGAACAGCTCAGTAGAGAGACATGGAAACACAGGGATGCAGATGACAAGGTAGGGGAGCTGATAAATAATTGATGGAAGACAGCATTAGGACCATCTAGAGCTTTTCACATGGCAGCTTTACAAACTTGTGAAATATGCTGATGCACAGCTGCAGACAGGATGTCCCACGCTTGCATTTCTACACCAGCTGACTGGTGTTTTTGCATCATCTCTGTCTCCGCCAGTTACTTGCTTCCCCACTGCTTACATCATTTGTGACATTTTAGTTGTATATTTTTTTCCAGCACTTATTCCTGCTTCAGTGATGAAAAGACGACATCAAGACACGCAGAAATCCAATACCATGATAGGCAGCGCAGAAAGTGTCCTGATGAGATGCTTAATTGTGAACTCCATTCCCCAGAAAACCTAGTAGGAAGAACTTGATCTGTGCAGCTGCATCACATGCTGCATTCCAGCCAACAGATTCAGTTTTTATCACTTAGACTAAAACAGGCTGTGTGTGGTTTCTGCTTTCCAAGAGCTACTTTTTATTAAAAAAATCAAACAAATTGAAACATCTCATAACCAGATGATATCTTAGATATAATCAAATCCAAACACACCAAAGCCAAATAAAAGACATCTGTACGATGTTCCAATTTTCTTCATGAACATCTTACTTTTGTATTCTATACAATTTCCTGTGCCTTTGTTCTCTCACCAAGGTGCTAGAACAGAGTATCTGAATGTCTCTTATGGCTTTATGGCTTTGATCCAAATTGAAAAGAAAACAATGGCTGAATGCTTTAACACAGAGTGAATTAGGGCCCTGCCTGGGAAGGCATTTAAAAGAAACAGTGTTAGTTTGTATTCAAATTATACACACAAAGCATGTCTGGGGCATTTATTATGCATAGCGGGTAGCGAGAGCAGAGGGACACTTACATAACACACACTACCCTTTTTTCTGACCCCTGTGCAGATAGCTATCTCCGTCGACCCCTGTGGTGCTGTTTTCAAACGCTGCATTTATGCAACATGCCACTGCATATAGGCATTAGGGCCAACAGTAGTTAAAAAAAAGCCACAATGTATGAAGGCTTTCTCATCTGATAGAATTCCTTTAAGTGCAAAAAAACCCCTAAATAAGTATTATAAGTATACATAAGTATTTTAGTTAAACGGTGTATATATACTATATAATGTATATATAATTAAAAAGCTATTCCATTAAGCAATTTGTTAAAAAAATAAAATAAAATAAAACTCACTGTATGCTGAATCTTAAACACAATAAAATGTATTTGAAGCAGTTATGTTAATTGTCATACGTTATCTTCCAGTAATTGAAAATCCAGCAAGAATGTGCAAAAGGATTTACACAGAAATGTTATGTAATGGTCTACATAAGGAAATTGCCGAGCATAAGGTCGTATAAATCCACAGTTTGGGGAGATTCACATGGTATGGACTGCAATTTAAGGTCAGCTAATTATGTGTCTGTTGCAATGGCCTTAACACTTCCTTCATATGAATGTCAATTATACATTTATTTGGTAAATTTAGTTCCCACCATTTAGCTGAAAATGGAGGGAGTTAGAATCCAAGTTGCCTGAGGTCTGGTACAGAATGTTCTTTCATTCATGATTTGGGGAGTCTTCATCTGCTGTTGTTGTTCCACTGTGTTTGATCAGGTCTAACTTCAGTGCAGCTATTTATTAGGAAATGTTAAGTTTCATATTTTCTTCTGCTAATAAGTGTTATGAAGATTAGGTTTAATTTAATCTCCATCAAAATATCACCCCTGCTAGCAGTGCCCAATGTACAAACATCAGGTTATATGACGGTGGTATTGAATGCTTCATTTGCCTACCTGACCTAGGTTACCTGACAGTCATTTTTTAAAACGTTTTGCCATCTGGGCCAGAATCCTGAAGCGGAATATTTGTGTTGGTCTAAACTGACTGGCTTCCCTTTTTCTTATATTTGATAACACAAGGTCAGCTTTGATAGTATTTTCCTTTTTACTTGTGAACTTCTAATCAACAAAGTAAGCAGGCCACATGTCCACAGCTGTCCGGGGATGAATATGTACCTCATTTAAGATAGAAAACATAAAAAGAAAGTTGTATTTCTTCTCATCTTTACTGGAGGGTATGTGGGTCACTCTTTGCAAACATTTGCTCTTTTTAGCATAGTTGACTCAATGCGTGTATCAAACTTTGTTTGCTAGATGTCTGGTGCAGCTGTTGCCAGCACTTGGCAGCAGGATTTGGGCCATTTTTAAATAGAGATTAAGGGCCAAACAAAACAATTGACAAGCTGCTTTTCAGACATGTTCTTGTATGAAATTTCTGGGGTATTAAGCCCCTGTCACACCTTGACAATTTAGCCAGCGTATGTCTGACATCCCAGAATCTTCTAGAACGCTGGCTTACGATGAACTTTCTATGTATTTTATCAATTAAGGGCGTATACATAGAGTATTCATAACGAGTCCAGAACTTATGTCCAACCACAGCCTAACTTATGCATAACCCACGGCAGAGTAATGCCCATGAAATGTCACAAGCCAGTGTCCTGAGGACGGCAGCAATGCACCCGGAGGTGCCCGGTCTGAATAAAAAGACTTATTTGATCGCGGTATTAACCTAGCTGCTGTTTACTGCCCCCCCCCCCCCCCCCCCCCCCCCCCCCCCCCTCCAAAAAAGAAAGAAAGAATATTATAATATTAAATAGAAAAAAGAAAGAAAGAAGGTTTGTATTTGAAGTTTGTTGGTTGGGGGCATGAACGCAGGGAGGATCCATCACGCTCACCTTCATGCTCACCCCTTAATGCGGATGAAGTCTGGAGGAGTACAGACCATTTCCTCCTGTGAGCCCCCGTTCATACCAAAATGCTGCCAATACGTCATTATACAATAGCTGTAAATAAGAAAACCGCTCGGCGGTCATCTGGAACACCTCAAATACTTTGATTTGTGTTGGAAATAAATTCTTGATAAGTTACTCATAAGTTATATAAAAGTTACTCATAGGTTTTCTATAAGCTAGATCCCACGACTTATGAATAACTTACACTCAACGTTTGTCTACGATCAAATGACGTACTTGTAAAGTATGGCTCACGTATGAGCATACTTTATACAAAACTGACCCATAACTTGTCCAACGTATGTCAGCGTTTTTGCCTTATTTTTCATGTGCTGAATGGCTACAGGTTTCCAGCCAACTTTCCTCCAAATTCCAGCCCCTTGAGTGGTGTGTCGCTACCCAATATGTCCCAGAAGCACAATCCGTTCAGCTCTTTCGGGCATGTGCGACCAGACATAACTGACAAATCCTCAAGGTGTGACAGCAATCATTTAACTGAGAAAAAAAAGTTATGCCACTTTCTAATTTTCTTTTAGCTGTAGGTCAAATTATTCAAAACTAACTATAAAGTAGATAATTGTGTAAAATATATCTTATGGCATACAGTATGTTTCACTTTTTTAAATGTAGAAAATAAACCAAGTTATGTTTTCTCTGGATATATGAATTCTAAAAAGCTAAAGATATAGTTTTTAATGACAAAGTGAAATGCTGCTCTAAGACAGTAGGTAAAAAAAACCACAAGATTTTTAGCACACATTACTAATAAAGCTAAACTGACCGAGCATTTTGAGAAATTTGTCTCAAAATGAAAGACAATTCTGAGCAACCTCAAAACATCAATTTGACACTACACGCTGGACAAGTTAAAACTCATGTCTCATCAAATATAAAATAGTCCCGCATACAAATGGACCTTCCACCGCACAGCTTATTAAACGAACACACTCAGTATTCTCCCAGTGCTCCGCGCTCCCTCCCGTGTGATTTGTAATTGGATGTCATGCAGAGAGACACACACTGATCAACTCAGAGCGCAGGTGAACTGAAAAAGCATATCATTATGTCAGAAAGTGAAAATTATTATTGCCTCATCCATTAATGAAATCCAGAGAGCTCATGACCAGAAACCACATGTGCTTCAAATACCCTACTGGAAAAGTCATTTGCAAGCCCGGATTTCACTGAAATACACTTAATGTAGAAATATATATCAAGAAGCCTTGTGGAATCTGTAGTGAATCTGCATTTGCGTCTAGCAGAGATTATACATCTTAAAGCCAAAACTAAATTGTTATATAATGGCTTTATTTTTTTATTTGCAGAAGAATCGTCATGAAATGAATCCAGATGGCAAGAATGAGTCATTCTTCTTCTTTTTTTTTTTTTTTTTTTTTTACTTGAAATAATTATTCATGCATAACTTTTTATTTTTAATGCAAACATTTTCAGGTTTCAAGAAGGAGCCTCTATTTAGTTTTGGTAGTTATTGTAGATATCTGGAGATTAAAAAAAATCTCATCTGATCAACGTATCAAATAGTGATTTGACCTGATAAAATACCAACTTCATTTGGAAACTTTGAGCACTAAAATGCAGTATTTTTCAGCACTGTTAGATTATATTTGTTTAGAACACCTTCAATACTAAAATAGCAAGGCTATTCCAGGACACACAGTGACCTGAGAGAACAGCATTGATTTACTTGAAGTACAGTTTCTCCACAAAAAGCAGAGGATCAGAGACACAATTTGCAAGAACACCTCGTAACAAAAAATGTAATGGAATAAGATCTCCTTGTCTCACTCCATGTTGCGTATAGATGTAAGATATATTCTCACCAATTTTCTCGTGTATGGAGAACAAATTCAATATTAAACTAATTTGGAGAAAAACTTTAGTGCTCTGGTCCTTTCTTTAGCTAATTTTCACATTTCCTTTCTGCAAGCACCTTATTCTGATACTATTCTACTGAACAGAGATATTTCAACTTTTTAAAATCAAAGAATCAGTTATAATCAATATCACATATGGATGTCAATAATAATTTTCAAAGATGTACTATAAAGTTGATAGAGAACAGTAGTAGTTACAGATATGCATGAAAGAAAAAAGATTTAAAAGAAGAGATACTACTGTATAAAGCTCTTTATATTCAGCATTGGATTAATCAAATATACCTGAAGGAAATTGTATCGACGATGTTTGATTAGGATGAGTTCCAGGAAAAACACTAAAAAGAGTTTTCACATTCCTTCAACTTTTACACATTTTTTTTTTATCTTCCAGACAAAACCTCACTGTCTTTTAATTATATTTGGTAAGACAGACCACCCTAAATAACAATAACATTAAAATGTTTAGTTTTTTAATATATACAGTAGTAACAGTTTATAAGTTCCCCTAATGGCTGAAAAGTAGCTGATTGGCCTCCGGTTTCCAGCCAAATTTCCGCCCAATTCCAGCCCCTTGAGTGGTGTTGCTACCTAATTCGTCCTGGAAGCACAATCCGTACCATCAGCTCATTTGTGCATGCGCAACCAGATAAAAATCCGGGTTTCCATAAATAATGTAATTATGATACTAAAATTACTTTTTCTATCCTTAACTCACTAAAGAACGCTGATAACACATGTTTAAAAATGTTTTATGATTTTTCTGAGACAATTTTGATGCTTTTTACATTTTCCCATTAAACTACTGCATCATCATCAGACATTCTCAGAGCAGTCCAGCAAAATTTATTCGTACTTTTGTTGTTTCTTTCGTTGGGTTATGCACTATATACCATAATATTAAAATGAAATGGAAACAAAATCAAAAAGACAAGATTTATGTTTAAATCCAAAGACAAAAAAAGTTAGCACCCAGAAGTAGTGGAGCACATTACCCCCACAGACCTGTCGGTTAGTAGCGAAGGACGTGTCAAGGACCCATCATGGAAACAGGGTAACATTTAAACAGTTACTACTAATAATGTTTCATTCCATCAAAAACAAAACCACAGCAGAATGCTGCCAACACTGTTTAAGGGGGGATGATGTTTTCAGGGTAACAAGAAGGATTGGTTTTTATCCTAGGTCAAAAATTTGATACAGGACTTGTAGCAACATAACTCGCAGGGTTGTCTTTTGGCTTTATAATATATATATATATATATATATATATATATATATATATAGGTTTATGGTTGCAAGAAAACAGAAAACTTGTCAGAATCGAAGGTGTATCAATGCTTTTGGAAAGCACTGAGGGACTAAAACTGTTCAGGCCAAAGCAGAAATAAACCCAAAAATGAGAGAATTCCACAAGCCTATTTTTCGACTGCATCATTCTCAGCATTATGTTCTTTCGCTGACCCTCCTTTGATCAAGAATTTTGATCTGCATCCATTCGGAATTGAATTAGACTTTTCCTGACATGAATGATGGATGGGTGGAGGAAAAAGCCATGCATTTAGAATACCTTGTGCTGCTCAGGCCGAGTCCATGATGCCTGCAGAGGACAGAGAAACAACAGACAGAAGGCAAAGCAATTCTTAGAAAGTAATCCTCTTCTTCTCAAGAATGGGATGCTGCAAATTGCATGCAAGTATTAGACGACCAGATTATTTACCTTGCATCCAAAGTGCCAAGTCTGAGTTTCTGATTCATAATGCCTGTTGATGCTTTAGGGAAGTTTTTTTTATTTTTCAGAGAAAGCTTGATTTGGCTTTAAGAAACCTTTTAAGTATAGATTTCTGTTTTTTTTTTTTTTTTCTAAAGTGCACACCAAAATAAAGAAAATCTACTGCCATCACGAAAGCATAAATTCTTCCAAAGAAGAGGGTTCCTAGTTTATCAAAGGATGTGATTCAATTACACTGCAACAACAAAGATAGGCCAGAATTCCTTGGTAAAGGAGATACAGCAATTATCAACTCACAATCCATTTTACTCTAGTCCTGCTGTCTTTATTTGATAAAAAAGCCTCTCTGCACCAAGGCACACTGGTTAGCAGCCTTGTCATTTAAGTCACTGAACAACACTTCTGGGCTTTTCAATAAGCGATGACTGGTTGAGAAAGGCAATTTTTGTTGGAGCTCTTCAAGGAAATAAATCTTTGCTTGTACGAGTTCTGAAAGTGGCATTTCTTTCCTTTGACAAAAATCTTTATTCACCTTACAAGAAAAGGATTGTGGTTCTGTGTTTCAGGTCTTTAAGTTAAAAAAATATCACTTAATGTTAGTAAATGACACAATTAAAAATGAAATATGACTGCTGCTATAGAAGATCTTATCATTTAGCATTCCTGAACATGCCTTTAAAAATGCTGCTAAGGTTTTTGTACATGTTCTTTAAAATGAAATGTAGTTGTTTTTTAATTATGTCAACAGAAGTTTTTCTGCAATAAATATAATAAAACAAATTTCTTTTGATTAATAAATGAACAAAATCTCTAAGTAAGGAGTTAATGATGGAAACAGGAGTATACATCACACTAATGATTGAGACCACTGTGTTTTTTTTTTACAAGGTCCTGTAAGATATTTAATCGACTTAAACATTTTTACATAGTGAAGATGACCTTTGTATTCTCTTTTTGTCAGGGTGTGATCGAAGATGCTTTTAAAATTATAATATAAACAACATTAAGTTGCCTCACAAAAAACAAAAAAAAATCTTGTTAGTAATTTTTAGATGACAACTGTGTTAGTAGACAAATAAAACTGGCAAGGTCGTCAGTGTAACCAACAGTCTATTTTTAAAACTGAATGCATCCACCTATAAGGTAATTGATTAGTAATTAATGCAGGCTGATCTAGCAGAGTTGCCAGGTGGAGATTGAAAACTAATGTGTCCTGTGATGTTGTGTGTTTCACAGAGGTAAAAAAAAAGAGATCATAACTTTGTTCTGGAAAAGACTTGAAATATTGGTCCCAAGAAACAAAATAAGGTCACATGTGCAACCAATATGCACTGCAAGCACTGCATAAAAGACAGCATTATAACTAATAATATACGATTGTTTTGCAGCTGTATGAATAATTGCACATTTCTGTTTTAGATTATACCAAATGGGTAATGTTATACATTTGTATCTTATATATCTATGTTAATATAATGGCACATATAGAACTACAATCTAGAAGCATTCTTTAAAATAAATCAAAGATAATCAGCATTATCCTACTTTCTAATGGACAGCCATTTTTTTAATATATCATAGTAGAACAGGTCTCTTGACAGTACAGATTTTTAAAGGAATATGTACAAATAATCCAAATAAAATCAGACAACATTGAAAAACACCACAAGACCGACACCTTTTTGGACAGCATGCTGTTTTGATGCTGATGAGAAAATGTTAAGCATGTCAATGAGATGTTATGGCCTACAAAGCTGGAAAAAACACATTATTTAAATGCAACTAGCAGAGTAATAAACAGCTATTTCATCAGGCACAGCAGCAAGAAAATATAAGAGTAAATGGAAGAAATCTACAGGAAAAATAATGGGGCAAAACAGTGAATCAAACCATCAATATTCACATCTAAAAAGCACTTCTGCATCATCTTTACTGCCTGAGCAGAATGCTTTTAAACCATTTATGGCGTATTTAAATTCAACTCTCTTTACATTAGCAAATTCCCTAATATCCTTGACAATCGGGATCCTTTCTCAGTGCCAAGATTGGAAAAAATAGTAAATAATTATCAGCCGAGTTTTATGCAAAGCTGACTGTTCATCATTAGGCACTGCAGTCGCTGCATATCATCTTATGAAGGAACGGGAGCCCAATTAAAACAAGCAACCTAACAGTGTGGTACATCACCGCTCCATCGCCGTACGCAGCGCTCCCTCTGCACTAAGGGAGCTGATGAGCACTGCTGTCATATCTGTGACAGGTGTTTATCTGAGACAAAAAAGGACCATGAACAACTTCACCTGCCACTGTCGCATCTCAGACCAAACAACAAGAACAATGTGCTGCTGGCACCCATGAGAGAGTTCTCAATTTTTCCAGCCAATTGTAATTTTCTCTTCCACAGACAATAATCCTCCTTCAGTTCTGACTTAAACTGTAATGTCAGTGTGAACAAGAGAATGGAAAAAGCAAAGAAAAAGAGGTACTTGTGCAAATAATCTAAACATGTTAAAAAAACACTGACGGTGTTTTATTATCTGGACGATGCAGGACTAAGTCGTCTGATTACGCATTCTGCCATTGTCCTAAGCCACTATCTGCTGAGCCTCAAAAAATTTCTATTGCTTCAGGACTAAACGAGCTGCAGACATCCTTACATTACAGAGCAGGCGTGTTAATAATGAGGAGCATTAGCAGTGCAACCATACGCTGCAACTGCCCTGCCTGTGTCACTGTCAAACAGCATTACATAGACATTTCTTTTTACATTTCACTACTGTTCAATGTCCCCATAAGTTTGTCCAACTCTCTTAAACATTGATATTATATGTTAATAATTACCATTAATATCATATGACTGAGTTAAATATTTTGCAAAAAACAGTTCAAACCAAATGCACCAGTAACTATTATTTGCTGTTAAATTTTCTACAGTTTCCCTGCATCTTTCTGCTCTATAACTCAGAAAATATTATTACAGCTAAAACCAAAAAACAACAAAAACAGCGTAACGGAAAATGTTTAATATGTATTCAAATAAGCCAAACATTCATTTTGTAGATAATGTACAAAGCGGGAATAAATACTTAATTTACATTTTCAGTTATTAAACAGGCATACTTATCTAAAACGACTTGCAGCAAAAGCTTTCAAAGGACTAAGAGAACCAAAAGCTGCGTGTGAAGTTGATGAAAGTTTAAAAACAAAAATATAACCACGTAGCTTTGATAGCTGCATAAACAGAAACAAGCCTATCCTCAGATACCACTGACTGAACTCTGAAATGTAACTAAGCTGGTTAAATCCCACTAGTCTACATTTGCTGTCCTTTATATGCTGTCATTTACTCAGTGAACAGAACAGTAATCCTCCATCCTCACGCTGTGCTGCTTCTGAAATTGTTACAGGACAATGCTTTTGTCGACCTACAGCCTAAGCTGGTTGCTAAGAACCTTCTGATTTCTCCTTATGTTGAAATCCAAGCAGAACAGGATGACTTTAAATGAAGACAGATTAGGTTTCTTTATGCCAAACTTACTTTGTAAGTAAATGTAAGGCACTTCCTTAAAGACGTAACAAAGGCAACTAAAGTAAGTCCCTTTTTCTATTTACAAAATGTATTATCAATAAACTAAACTATGTCTTCACGGGATATATAAAGAGTTAAGCCAAAAGTAATTAATACCCCTGTGAGAATTAATTTAAAAGTTATTTATATTCAACCAAGAGGTTTGTTTGGGAAACCAAACAGACATTTCTCAAAAATTATAAATTAAATGTGTTTTTATTTATGTTGAAATAAATAAATGATTCTTAATGTAGGATGTGATTGAGCTGTCTCTGCAAAGTTCCTTCAGACGATGTGTTAATTGGTTATAAATTGAACTGAACTTTTTTTTAAAGGCAGCATGTCATGTTCAGATCGTTCTCACTAAGCAATAATAAAACAAAAAACTGAACACGATTCTAAACATCATGGTCGTCAAACCTTCGTTATAATTGCTGAGAAGCTTTTTGCTTGTTTCCTTTGGTAATTTAGCTCCATCTTCGGCGTCTTCAGGTTGGAATGCCCCTAAAGATTATTTGATTTAATTTGAGGCATTATAAAATTTGTTAATATTATTTCCACTTGGAAGAAACTTGTGGGTAAATTAATAAAAAAAAAAAAACATTTCAAACCTAAACCTGATATAAGGAAATGCTTGCCTTAACAACAGCAACAGGTGCATTTCGATGAACTAGAACATCTATCAATTATTGTTTAAGAAAGTGAAACTCATACATAATGTAAATTAATTGCAGAAAAAGAGATATATTTTTAAGCCAGTATGTGTTATTGTGAATCTTGCCTATATTACATATGATTTACTTCACAACCCCCTAAGGCTGTAATTATCCATGCAGCTGGTGCATATTTTAAATAAAAGTTTCTTCTTACATAAAACCTTCCATTAGAGACTGAACAGCCATCTTATACGGCAAAGAGCTTCAGTGGCCTGCTCCCCATGGGATTGCTGTCCTATGAGTATTGTGTGGGCAGCATTATGGTTAGAAAATAACATTTATGGACTAAAACTAAGTCTTTTATACCATTGTGCCCCAATAATTTATATTGAGGCTAAATGCTGTACACAATGCTTACATGACTTCATTCTCTGCTTTAGAAATCAATAAAAAAATGACTCACTCAGTGAATTCAGCCATTAAAATAAAAGCAGCTTTTAATATAATTTTTACATTTATTTAAAGTGCAGCTGATTATAACTGTACTTGAACCTGAAAAAGTGAGATAAAAATAACTATGGTGAATATTGTTAAGGATAGTAAAAATAGCTTTGAAATGAATGAATCTGTATGATTCAGTTAAAAATACTAATAGTAAGTAAACAGTTTGTTGATTCCTTGTTTGCACTTTATTACTAATAACTTAATCTAACTGAAAATGTGACCAGTAATACACTGCTTAATTTAAGATTTGCTGGCTGATTACTTAAGGATGAACTTAAGAGCAAACAATCCATATTTATTAACATTCTTTCTGTTATTTTAAGCAGTATTTTAAGAATTAGTTTTTTTATTTTTATGAAAGATCATTGGTTTTGAACTAATTATTATATATACATTTTAACTAAAACATGGTGGGCCATTGGTGGGCTACCTATAGATATCTCCTACAGGTCTTAGCCAATTTTCTGGGGTAAATTTTGAACTAATTAGATCCCGATTTTACAAAGTGGTTCCTATTTCTCATGTACTTCCTCTTCACTGAAAAAGAGAAAATTTCAGTCTTTAAAATCATTTGACATCAGAAAAAAAGCAAAATCACTGCACAGCAACTAAAACCACCCCACCCACCACTCTCATGAAAAGCCTCTCTGTTATACAGCTGACTATAAGCCCTCACAAGTAGCAGGCAGCCCAACTTATTAAACAGCACTGAAAACTGCCAATTATTTTAGTCGCTGCTTATTTAATATCTTTTCTTCAGTCTAAGAAAGAAAAATTACAGATAATGTATAAAAACATTATAATAAATACAGTAATCTCTGTTCTTTTGGAGTTGTGAAACTTTTGGAGTTGTCAAAAATAATACTTGCTTTGCTATTGCAGTAAAATGATGGTTGTTTTAAATAATTTCTGTGGACACTATAATTGATCGTATTTTTTAAACAAAGTTAAAAACATAGTTGAAAAACTACTGGCAAATCACTAAATGAAAACATACTTAAAGCTGTGAGTGTCCTCCCTGCAAACTTTATGCTTTATACTTTATGAAATAAATGTGTTTAAATATCAATATAAGAACTAAAACAATGTGCAGCACTTGCTCTATGAAAAACTGGACTCCATCAGCATGTTTTTTTTAAATCTTGCATCAGAAAAAGAAGTATAAAACTGTTCACTAATAATCAGTAATCACAATGTAATTTCTTTTCCAAGCAACTCTAGATCAGAATTCTAATGCTATTGGAATTGACAGCATCTGAACAGTTAGAGAGCTAAATAACTGAAAACACTTTCAAATTAACTGCTAATTAATTCTGGTTATTAATCAGCATCACACATCTGAAAAGACAGAACGGATCTGTGCTTGTTCTCTGACCAAAACGAAAATCTCACCTCAATATGTTAATGAAAACATGCTTCCTGTCACTTCATCATCTTCACCCCACACAAAATTTGGAACATTTGTCGCACCGATACCAGATGAAATGCAGCTGTTGTGGTTGTCATGGACAACGTGTCGGACGAACATCAGATAGACAAACTGAACAGGACAGCTAAACAATTAGCAGCCGACAGATAAAAGCCCGCCACAGAAATTTTTTTTTTCCTTAATCAGAACTACAAAGAGTCTAAGCGATCTCTATTAATGTAATTCAATAAGGCTGCTAATCATTTTTTAAGACAGCTGTGAAGAGATGCCACAGATAGACCAAGCATACTGAACTCAACAGTGCAAATCACACTGCCACCACTGCACAGCTGGCAATCATCTGATGTGCCATGTGACAGTTCAGCACAGCAGATGCATCATGCAAAACTAATGGGCAAATCATGTTGTATGTTTCCATTTTTTTGTCAAGTACAAAACAACTGTGTGTTTGTGAGTTGCTCACCTCTGCAACTGCGAAAGTATAAGTCAAGCCATTGTCATAGCTTTCCAAACAATGCCTTTTATCATATGAACCTTGAATCTGAGCTTTGTTTTGACTTCATCGATTATCGACTGCTTTAAGGTGAAAGAAATCTAAGCCAAAGTAGCAATGACGGCAGAGTAAGTAGAGATACACCAGCTGGGAGATGTGTTCTGTACACATGCTTCTCATGGGAGACTCACACTGGAAAACAGGATTGAGGTATAAGCTGTTACTCAGCAGTGCATCCATGTGTGCCGGTGTACCTCGCTACAGAGTATGTGTAGTTTTGCAAAGAAAAAAAAAACAAGTCGTGATGTGCGTCATATGGTGGAAGTGTGTTTTGCACTTATGAGTGAGGCTCCAATCAAAGTATGTATTTTTAAATATCCAACAGACTTGACAGGTGGCTGCAAAATGTCCCATTTCCATGGACAGTATTACCACTGCATGATACAAAGCCAGCAGATTTCATGATAAAAAAACAGCCAAAAATGTTATTTCTTATTCATCATTTTTTTATAGATTTGTCTACAGAAGCAAAGGTTTGATATTTAAAAGGCAAACTTTAATTGGAGCAACTTTTACCAGAAATTTGAAGCGATACCAACATCTGTGTTAGACAATCTACAATATGATGAAATGACACAGACTGAGCTCGGCTTGAGACCAGGCAACCTCATGCTGTGATGAATAGTTTGAAATGATCAGGCAAAAGCAACACAGAAATGATGTCTTCCCTTTTAGTATGTTATTAGACAAATTTTCATTTGATCTTGTGAAAAAAAAAAGCTTTCTATTCTTTCTATCACAAGATCAGTGAAATTTTTCAGGCCACATTTTGGGAAACATGCAGCAGTCAAATCAATTTTATGAACCCTGATGAGATCATTCCTTTGGGGTTTTCAAGAAGGAACTGGGAGTTTTTTCAACAAAGGAGGACGATTTGATTTCCGTAGAGTTTTTGTTATAGCTGAAGACATATTTTACACACTACTTCAGGACATTTCTGTGCTACGCGGATTTCATACCTGATAGATCCTGTTTAGATGTGCCTGTAGGGAGAAAATGTAGCGTATGTAATGGACCGGCTCCAGAATTACTCTATGAACTGAAGCATATCCCTACAGCATATAACCCCTTTTTATTTCTCAACCGCAGTGAGACACCAGCACCTTGGAGAAGTCAGCCATGTGGACAATAGATGTATGAGAATACCCATCAGGTATTCACTGTATTTGATGGTTTAGCCATGTAATAATGTGGAAGATATTACAAATGAAACACATGATGTGATGGGAGATTAAAAGCTGGCTCTCCCAAATAAATCGTAAAATGTTCAGTAATATCATCGAAAAATATGTTAATCACTGACAGAGGCACAAAACCCTAAAAGTGATTGAATGTACAGAACAAAACACACACTTGCTCTGTCAAGTGCTCATTGTGGCAAATAAAAAAAAGAAAGTAGTTCAATTGTCTTAATTGACATGCTTATTTTGGGATCAGTCTAATTGAGTTCTGGAGATAATTTGCCCTGCAGCGGGGACTTTGTCTCAAATGTAAAGTGTCTTGCAAAAGCATTCATACTCCTTGCACCTTTTCACATTTTGTCACATTGTCGGAAGAAAAACCTCTGTCTTTTCGGATTGTATTTATTGCCACCTTTCTCCCATCACCTAACCTATTTGATTCTGCTAAAAAAAAGCAGCCTGACAGAATGTTTCTGGCTTTTGCCAAGTTACCTTGAAATTAGTTTTGTTCAACAATGGTTTCGTCTTACAACTCTTGTGAAAAATCCACATTTGTTAAATGCATAACTAAAAGTTCACTTGCTTCTCCCACAAGAACAGGGTCTTTTTATTTTTTTCTGCTTTTTGATTCATTTGTTTTACAAATGTTTTTTGCTTTTATTCTGCTTTCATTTTTCTTCCATTTTATCATCTAATTCATATAAAGCACTTTGAATTGTCCATCCACTGAATCATGCTATACAAATAAAATTGCCTTGCCTTCCACCTCTCCACTAGAGTTATTAACCAACTCTTTGCAGCTTCCCTGATTAATGTTCTCCTTTACTGGCCTATCAATATAGGTAGGTTTGCTTTTTCCCAAACTGTTCCGATTTTCAGAGAAAAGAGAACAGTAGTCCTGTCAAACATTTAAGGTTAGGGAGATCAATTTACAATTTAATTCTGCTTTAATTTCTCCCCATTATCCCTAACCTCTCCTTTATAATTATTATTATGCTGGTTGTTCACTAATGTTTTCTAAGAAACCTCTAAGACCTGCACAGAATAGCTGGATTTATATATTTATATATATTACCCAGAGGTGGATTCTACTTATTAAACATTTTCAAGGGGTGATTGGTTGACGTGGCTTTATCTAATGGCATCAGATAAAAAAAGGAGATGAAAATGAATGCAAAGCACTCCAGATTTTTATTTTATTTGTGAAATCTTTTTAAAATGATATATCATTTTCTTTCTTGTTTAAAATGATGCAAAAGATTTCACCATTTTGTATTATTCAAGAGGTATAGATATATTTTCCTGTAAGTGCTCTCTTATAATGACTGAGTTTTAGAAAACTGATTACAAAAGATGCACAGAGCATGAACACAATGTAAATCTAGTGAAGGCACTCTGTAATGAATTTCCATGTCCCCCATCTGTAGCAAATCAATACATCATTAGAAAGTAGGTTATAGATATTCAATTCTTTTTCGTAAAACACCTGTTGCCTGCATGTTTTCCTCCCTGGTGGTTTCTGCTCAGTGTCCCAATTCCACATAATGCATCAAAAACAATTCATGCTAAGCCGGTAAATAGAGATTTTCATTTCTTCATCATGTTGTTTGCACTCGAAAGCAAATAGAATACATAAGAATCAAAAGCAAAGACTGTAGAAACTGACTAGATAAAGATTTGTTTTATTTTTCTGTAATAAATTATAATCTGGCTACTTTAGTGGATTTCATTTGAATAAAATGTGATCTTACCTGGTCTCCTTCAGCGAAAACTTGCTCACCGTAGCTCCAGCTGATGGTTGGAGTTGGATCCCCAGATGCTTCACAAGTAACAGTTACCTGTTCTTCCATCTCTGAAGTGGTCCGGTTCACTATGTAAGTGATCCTGGGTTTTACTGTGAAAAAAAGCCTTGAAGTTTAGTCAACTGGGCTGTGTTGTTTGGCAGCATAAATGGTCATACAATACAGCAGGAAGTAGGAATCAATAGCATTAAAATCACAGATACTTTTAAGCATAGAATAAAATGTAAAAAAAAATGACTGAAGTAAATGTTTGAATCACACAAATCACAAAAGTGGCACTTTTTGTCAAGTAAAATACTACATAAAATATTTTTAACTTTAAAAATTGTTACTAATCCAGTTTGTGTGGGTTGTTTTGTGTTTGTCTCTCCCTCCACCACCAGGTGACGCCCTGTCCTCGTTGGCCCTCCTGCACACCTGCAGCTTGTTGGTTCATCACTGAGGAGTATTTAAGCCGTTGACTGCCACTACCTCGATGCCAGAGTGTTTGTCAGTTTTGGGTACTCTAGCCAAACTGAGATTAGCTGATTCTAACCTGAGCCTTTGTTTCTCTGAGATTAACTCTGTTTTTTGTCTTTGCCTTTTGGCAGGAAACCTTCCTGCAAACTGGATGTTTGGCCTTCTCCCCCTGGAAGGATCTTTTGTGTTCACACTGAGCAGGGTAAAAACCTCCACACGACCCGTTCAAGCTCCATCGGAATTTCAAGTGGCAGTCCGCTCATATTACTCCTCAGGGTCCAACCCAAACCAACCTGTCCGCCCTCCAACGAGATGCCCTTCCTCTGGATAAACCCACACTTTCTGGATTCAAGGATAAGACTGAAACCCCCTCCAACGTGAGTCCCGCTTCCTCTATATTCAAGAACTCAATCCAGTTTCCTACGGCCACTGAACTAACCGCTGTGAACTTCCCTTCTCACTTCTAGTTCCGGTTTATCAGCTCTCTGATTTCCAGATTAAACTTCCTGTGATTCTCCTCAATAAACCTGTTAAACTTTCCCTTGGTTCTATGATTGGTTTTCTGCATGTTGGTCAGATCACTTAAAAGCATCATGACAATAGTAACTTTGTTTGCAGAAATGTAATTTCCAAAAACAAACATAGTCTTAAAATTGTATTTACATCAAACCATTTTACTTTTTGTTACAACTACAAATTGTCTTTCAGCAGTGTTTCATGTGGTGGACTAACACAGTGCAGTATTTTAAAGGAATAGAACAAACACTACTTTATATTTACATTTAAAACTAAATATAATCTTGGTTATGTTGGAGCTGCTTTAATGTATGAAAAACTATCAGCAGTATCAAAGTTGAAATTTGATATTGAAGAACTTAAGTTTTAAAAATCCACAGAGACCGAAAATCTACATTTATGATTTGCACTTACGAAGCATGAAAGCTCATAGGAATGACTGAATGCTGCTTTGCGTACACTAATAAAAGCTTTGAAAGAGAGAGAGGAAATCTTTGAAATACTCAGGTAAACACTGATTTAACTGCTGCCTTGAATCATTATTAGATAATTGTTTCTCTGAAGAGATGAAAAAAGGCCACATATTCTGCTTTTGAAACAAACTGCAGCAGCAAAAATCTGCTGAAAATCAGAAGAGAATGAATAAATAAACTAAGCAAAAAAAATTCGACTGAATAGTTCAACTGAGCTCATTCCATTGTTTTTTAAAGCTACACTTTATCCCAACATAAAACAATTGCAGCCCACACCAAAGCACCTTGTTCTTGTCTGACTTAAAACAGACAAACCTAACTATTGTTCTTCCCCCACATACATGATCATACAGTATGTGTGTATCATTCCCACTTACTTGGAACAATTTATCCTGTCACTAGTCCATATGTGCTCCTATATATAAAACATGCTGTCTTACCAAACACTCTGAGGCTCAGTTCCTTCTCACTCTCCCCAGCCTTGTTTTTGGCAATGCATGTGTATTCTCCTTCATCCAGTTTGGTAACATCCATTATAGTCATTTCTGAGCCATCTTCATTAAAGCTGTACTTTTCTTCATCTCTAAGTTCAACGCCGTTCCTGTTGAAAACAGACAAGTGTTTAAATACTGAAGCCAGTCAATCTACACAGCACTTTCCAACCTTTTTGTGGGACTCTAGAAAATGTGCAGTAGTTCTTAGGTCCCCTTGGGAACAAAGTGAAAAAGGTCAGCAGATGAACTACAAAAGCAGTGATGACGAGAGGAGATGTAAAAGCTGAAAATCTGAGAACAAATGTGTTTTTCTGTTGCAACACATTTTCTTTTGCAACCTCTCTGACATTTTGACACAGATTTATCCGCAGGTTTTTCTTGAAAGAAAGTAGACACAGTGGTTACACCTGGACTCACGGCAGAGTGTTTGATGAAAATATGTCAAAATAAAAAAAATATGGCTTATTTCATTATTTATGATTTATATTTACATTCTTCCATAGCCTGTTGCATTAGGAGAATCATCTGTGTGGTTTCAAACATTGCAAAAAATAAATGTAGTTCAGAACTGTGCTTACACCCTTTCAAGCAAGGTTAAAAAATCTGGTCTGGGTCACTGAACCCACTTTCTAGGGAATCAGTTTATTTGTGTGCACAGAGTGGAAAAGTCTATGATTCCTGTACATGTCTTTACCTTTCTGGGTAAAACACCAGCATGTTTGTTTCCTAACCTTCTAACTAGGCTCTGTGTTTAACAGCCTGCAGGTCTGTGTGTAATAGCTTAGTGGAACTGTATTAAGACATTACACTGATGAGTTCATAGGAATGAGGAAAGTTTCTGCCATTATGAGATTGTCACAGTATAAAAAAAAATACTTGAGGAATGACCACGGGTATTAATAATGTTGACAGCAACATTGAAAACAAATATGTATAACATGATCTTATTGCCTTTTTTGAAGAAAAAGTAGCCATCAGTGTAGCTGCAGTTTGAATGATATATTTTATTGATTATTAAAGTCTAGTCATTTTGTAACACTGACTAAAATGTATTTTTTGGATTTTAATGCACAAACTTCAACAAAACTTACTTGCTTAACACTAAACGTAGGGATTTTCAAGAAATAGATATTTTGTTATTTTACTCATTATATTAGAACAATACCAGCTTATGGTGTGTTCATAACAACCAAATTTTGACACCAAAAAAGGTATAGAATGCCTCAAGTTGGATGATTGTGTATTTTAAAGTTGGGTGGTCTGGACACTGGATGGTGTGGACACTCAAAAGTACCATAATATTAAAAGGAATATTATTTACAAGTAGGTTTTGTAATTTTGAGTTAATGTAGGTATTTGTAAACTGTTTCACCAGATTTTAGTAAGAAAATATTTTAATAGAATAATACTGATCAGAGAACTGTCTTTTCCTTGTACAATAAAATAAAATATATATTTTCTGGCTTTTTAAACCAGTGGAGTTTAACTTTACATATGCTAATTTTTCATAGTTTTATTCTGTTAGCTCTGCAGAAGCGTTCGTAGCTTGCGTGTCGTGTCTGTCCCCAGACAGCTCCTGGATTAGCTACTCTGAAAGGTTGATACTCAGCATCTAGCTGCAAAAGTTTTGATTTCCCAACTCCAATGTCTGTTGCTCTGGACCCATGATTGCTCAAAAGTTACTTTTCTTGATTCTTGATGCTCCTAGATGTCGTCTTATGTAAACCAGAAGACCTGACGTTCAAAACACGTTTATTATGAATCCAACATTAGAGTTTCTACATCATAAAAAAAAAACCTAGCAGCTGGTCTGCAGTGCACACCGACAGGTGGGAAAATGGCAGAGCTTCATGGCATCATTCAACCTGGGGGACATTAAAGTCACTCCAACATTTCTATATCATTATGATAAATGTATTATATGCCATTTTTAAAAATCTGAAATCGTAGGAATGATATGTTTTGTGATTATAATGTTTTTGTTAAACTGTTTGCCCACACCACGCTGGTAACAAATCCAAAAGATGTCTTAAAAATAACCATGGAAAAGCAGGTTAAATTGTCATGGATGTAAATATTTACTGGCAAAAAGCTCAAGGGCAGCTCATCCTCCCAGAAAAAAAGTAACTATGGCAATCTTAACATAAAGAGAATCACCTTTTACTGTCCTCACCCAGTTCTAAAATGTTCTGCAGGCTTTGTTGTGGCTTGGTTTATTTTCCTTAGAGTATACTTTATTTATACGTGATAAATTCCTTTACCTGAGTATAACAGTATGGTGCACGGCTGGTTATAACATAGGGAGCTGCTTTGTGTGGTTTGACAGATGGCTGGCGCAGCTCTGGAACAATGATAGCCATATTAACACATGATAAACATTATCTGGGAAACCCCATATAATAAATGAATTACCCCTTACAGTTGCTTTTTATCTGCAAATTCCACAGGTTTAATCGCATTTTTTTTTAAATGTACTGACATTTTCTTGTGCTGGGTATGATGTTAGTGCACTGCATAGCCTATTGTGTAACAACTGTTAAGTGCTGTGGGCAACTGCTAGAGCTAGCCAGCTCTATAAGAGGCTACAGACAAAAGAAAGGAATTCTCACAGCACAGTGCAATGATGTGATCCATCTGTGACCAGATGTCCTGATTTATGCTTGACTGTGCCTCATTTTCACTTTTATCCTGGTGTGAAAGGTGATTCTTGGACAGCTTTTTGTGAAGGTTGTCGAAGTTATTTTTCTATTTCATACTTAGGGGAGCATAATGTAAAACCACACTGTAAAAGCCAGTTGCACAAGAAATGCACAGCTGGATAAGCAACACATTTTGCATGAGATTGTTATCATTACAGGACCTCTTAGTTCTGTAAAATATAGTAATAAAAAGTGGCCAATTTTTAATGTAGAAATTACTATCATGGCTGATTTTCATGGTATTAAAAGCACAGATTTTCCTGGCAATAATTACATATCATACGTGGTCCCAAGGTAAATGACTAATGACTGCAAGACTGCCATCTTTATTTAAGATATTCACCTGGTGAATATATTTATATATTTTTTGGCTTTTTGGAATTAGACCTCGTCAAATGCAGGACTTCACACCAGCTTACCTAATTGCTCATTTCACTCACCTGCCTAACTTTGCTGTTACCATTTATAACTCATCTTATCCACCTGCTCCTGCTGCTTTATTTAAATGACTCAGTCCGAGGTATCGGGACTAGATCATTGACGTTGTTGCTGAGATGACTTGCAGATAAGTATAGACTTAAGTTCCACTTCTTGTTCTCTGAGGTCAGTGGTGAGAGAGATTTTTAGCATTGTCTCAGTGTTTTCCTGATTTCATGCCTTGTTCTGCCTCTCAACCACTGAGCTTGCCTGTTCCCATCTGAATGTTCTGCCTGAACTCTCTGTGGATTCCTGGAACCCTGGATCTGTCTGTCCCTGTTCAGATCGGAACCCCTGACCGGGCTGCGGACTCCTGCATCTCAGAATCTTCCAGTTCTTAACTGTTTCCCTGATCTGGCTCAGACTTCTACCTGATCACTGGGGCTGCTGCATCTGGTTTCACTCTGCCCGGAGTCTGCCCCATCTCGTTGGCAGTCCATCGGCTGGATCGTGCCTCGCTCTAAGAGGATGGACTAAACCAGAGTTGCCACTGATAGGCAGTGCCCCAGCTGCCCTCGAGTCGCTGCAGATCCACAGCTCAGTGTTCCGTTATGTTCGCCTTTGGATTTTCCAACCATCTGTCTCATCTTGAATATTGGGTCCTAAGTTCTGAGCTCATGACAGTTTGAGTGTAAAATGCACATAAGTAATGTAATGCTGTAAATTATATTTTACTTAGAAAAAAATGATGCTGTCTGCTGTCAAATACAGTGCAGTCAGTAGCTTTTGGAGCCTCTGCTGACAAACGCTGTTGTGGGAGGTTTTGGGCTTAAGTGCAGAAAGCTATAAAAGTTATTCAAATGAACAGCTTTTATCACCTAGATGGCTTCAAAAGTGGCACGAAAATTCTTCAAGCTCCTTTTCTCTTTTAAGTTCTTTGGATAGTGGCAACATTTAACGGGTCATGTCGACTTGAATTCTTTTTTTTTCCATCTTCCACAAGTTGTACATCATTGGAAAACTTAGACCTCACTCTTTCAGGATCTGCAAATAACTCAAAACAAACTGATGGATTTTGCCATGACCTGTCAGATTTGTGATTGATTTCTCTATGATGCTTTCATGACACAAATACACACGACATTTAAATGTTGAGCATAGTAAATTCAAGAACTATGCCAAAATTCAACTCTTTAATATTATCCTGTCAGATTGTACTGTACACACTAGTCTTTCTTAGTTGTTTTTCACTCTTTGAATGTGTATCTTACTAGACAGCAACTTTGATTTGAATATGAACGGATATGTGTGCAAAATTGAATATAAAAAGCTGAATTTCCTAGGTACATGGTCCTTTTTATCAAAGTGATAGCCTGCTATTTTAGCAGTCTTGCCTTCAGTTATGTTTTTGGCAAAGAATGTCCACCTAAGAGGAAGATGTGCTTAAGTTCATGTGTGCCATTTGTCAATATTGTGTAGGATCTATACTAAAATTCTGTGCACACTCAATAGGCCTGTCAAGCTCCAAAGATATGTCAAGCCATGCATACGCACAAAATAAACCCTATATATATATATATATATATATATATATATATATATATTTTTTTTTTTTTTTTTTGATAAATCCCAGCTGTGCGCTAAAGGAACCACTTTACGTCTGGCCCACCACACCCGAACATTCAGCCAAACGTGTCCCATAAAAAGCATCACATGCAGGTCATTTTGAAAATAAATGAGCCAGTTGAATAATGCTATTCCAAAGTTACCATGGGCAATTAAAAGGTGAGCCTGCAAAAAATAAAAAATGCAGTTCAACTATAGCAGAAATAGATGTTAAGTATAAATATGTTTGGTAGCCAGAGTAGTGGCGGGAAAAAATAAAAAGTGTTATTAATTTCAGCAAAGTCTGAAATTAGCTGACTGTATTAGCACTGTCATTAAAAACTGCAGGCAGGATTTTGCTTTGGTGTGGGTATAATATCTCAGCATTTTTGGATAAATTCAAAGAATTATTTGCTCCTAAACGTTGCTTCAGGCAGAGAGTTCGTAATTGTTGATGTTTAACAGCCGGTTGTAAAGAACCACAGAGTGGTTAACAGCTGTAATGAACTAAAATCTTAAATAAACTGTGCCCTGAAACTGTCAATTTTTCACCCTTTCAAATAAATAATTTTCATGGAACTATATTTTCAAATGTATCTCAAGTCTTATATATAAAATGGAACATGAGTTGTCCATATTCCTTTAGTAGAGTCCTTCATGCCACCCTTCAGTTCTTCTCTACATTGTTGTGCACACTGATCTAGTGGGTATGGCTGGTTAGTCTCTCCAATACGGGACTGATTTCTGCATAGATTCAAGAGCAATGCTCTACAGGAGGCTTCCTCAGTTATGGTCCTCTAGGTTCGGTGTCTTGCACCTTATAGGTGTTTATCTGCTTCAACACACCTGAGTCAAATAATGGGGTGATTATTAAGATTCTGAAAAACTTGCCTGCATGCTGATGAGGTAAATCAGCAATTTGATTCAGGTGTGGTAAAGAGACACATCTAGAATGTGGAGGACACCAGACAAGCCTGGTTTGCTGTGTCTGATTGGCTCACTTGCTGTCTTTTTCATGGGTCAAAAATATTGGTGATCTCTGACAATTTGTTTCCTCCTAATTCTCCAGATTGTAACGTCTTTCATTAGAGCAGAGTGTATAACACACTATTACGCATGGGTGTCCCTTCTGTATTAAAACGTTTACAGCACTCAGTATTAATACCTTACACCTTTTAAAATCTATGTGTTGATTTGTGGTACGACTCACTCTGTTGATCACTGGGGAAGGGAATGTGATGGTGAGAAAACAAACATTTCTCCACTTTATTAAGGATTTGAGCTGCTTTTTTATTCCTTGTCCTTATGTATACAGTAGTTGTGGTTAATCAGTGCAAGCACGAATTACAAAGCGATATCAGATCCTTATGATGACATCACTCTATGATAAATGTTCTATATAAATTTAAACTGAACATCTCAGAGAACCTAACCTGGCTTCAATCCTAACCCTTTCCCTCAGAATTATTAAGTGTAATCATTTTCAATATAAGAGGAAGAACAATCAGGTTTGAAAGCAGAAGAAACAATACAGTTAATTTCTGGCTTGAACAGATTACTAAAGCATGAAATCAACAGGCAGACCAACAAGACATGGATGTTTTAATGAACAAATAAATTAGCAATTTAGAGTCGTTTTGACTTTTGCAAGTTCTAAATATAAAACACCTGATTACGTTGTCAGGTCTAAATAATAATAACTGTCTAAGAAGGATTGTGTTGCATTGTATAACTAGCTTTAGCTGCAAATTATTTTTTATGTTTTAGCCAAAACAGTCAGTCTTAAACTGCTATTTATATTGTACTCATCTTCCATTCATGTTTCACATTTTGCATTGGATGATAAACAATTTGGTTTTAATATCTAGAAAGTGAAATGCATGCAATAGCTTTATGATTGGTCAAAATAGTCTGATGACAGTTGCAGAGAGAACAGTTAGCCTGATGCCCATGCATATCATAGTAACAGTGCAGATCTGGACTGGAACTGAAATAAACATGTCTGAATGCTTGGAGAAATGTGGTATTTTGAAACTGATTTTTTTTTCTTTTAAGACATTCTCCAAAGTGGTAATTACAGGGAGACTCAGGAGACCACAGGGTGATTATAAGCATTTGATGTAGCACCAGTTTATGTCTCCACACTGATGCTCAGAAAACTGATTCCCTTCTCCCGGCTAAATAAATCACAACATGCAGCATTTTGTTAAATCGGTGGCAACAATGATCTTCCAAAATCAGACCATTCTTCGGGATGGATACTGTGTTAGACATTTGTGTTCTAGTTTAATGTGCAAATGTAGCCTCATCATTTTTTTAGCAAGTTTCTGATGCATTATCAGCTGCGTGTGATCTTTTTTCCCGGTGCTTTTACTGTACATACTTTAACATAGAACGGACTAAAACTATCAACATCTACAAGCCAGAGCACAACTAAAAAGTAAATGCATAAAAATGAAGTTATATGCCAATTATAAGCTTCCCCTTTTGCATCTTCTATTTGATTATGCCTCCTAATCTTAGTCTGACTTAATCTTCATCTTAATATTTTTCCCTACTTTGCAATCTGTACAGTTTCTTAAGCTAATTAAATGAAAGTTGTTAAAAATAAGCTAGTTTTTTTTTTTTTTTTTTTGCTTTATCTTGTCATGTTACAGAACCGGTACTTTGTCACAAATACTAGTAATCTAGAGGAGGTGTTGTTTTCTGACCTTCTATTTGTCAGTATTTGAAAGCTGGTTTTGTGCTTCAGTGAAGTTTTTAATAGAATGCTGGTCCTCTCTACCAGCACCAGTATAAAGTGAAACTATCAATAAAACACATAAAGTGCAGGATTTTTTGGACTTACTACACTTTGTGACCCAAGATCTAAATAGTCTGCAGTCATCCGCTCTCTTGGAAACAAGATAAATGGAAAAAAGTTTAACAAAGCGGAAGCTTTTCAATGGCTGCATTCAGATACACAGATAATGTTGCTGTTGTTGACATGCTGCTTCTTAGATTTCAGTTTACCTTTGATACCCTGTGATTAAGTTTCCTATGCTATTGAAATGAATAAATCATTCATGATCTCAAATGTCCTTCACATACAAAGACATTTTTTATACTTGTATTAAAGTTTTAACACAAATTTGTATTATTTAGATTTACGCCAACTCATCAAAATTATGCTATTGCTATGAATTTTTAGTATAATTATATTTACCTTACTGTTCTGTATGACAATCAATGCATATCACAAATAAATATAAGGGTTTAGCTTAATACCTTATAGTTGTTCAGGTGTACAAGCTACTTGATAAAATTGTGGGACAAGTTTCTGCTTAATTTGAAGCTAACACATTAAACTATTTAAAGAAAATTTACATAAATCCAAACAGAAAAAAAGGATGAAATTAAATAAATTTTAAATCAAAATCCACCAGGAGGGTGAATAATTATGGATTAACGAGATGTTTTTTGTGTAAAATTTAGGAACACTATTCCTAGATGCAGAAGTATGTGTTAGATGCATTTCTATGCTTTCTAAAAAGACATATACAATACTCATATCTGGAATGAGTAATAATGAATACAGCTCTCCATAAATCTCAGAGATTTACCTTATCCAGGTCACCATGGGTTCTGGGTAGCCGTCAACAGCACAAGTCAAAGTGGCAGGCTGGGCAACATCTGCCGTGGCATTCACCTCTGACTGCCATATTCTGATGGTTGGGAGGACTAATACATACAGAGATTTATAAATGGTTAAACAAAAGAAAAAATAAAGAAATAAAGCTAGATGCATTTATAAACTAATAACTAAATAGATCCAGAAAAGGGTAAATCAGAAAGACAATAGAACATGAAATTCAAGCAATGCAGATGTAAGTGATTTAAAAAGTCTTGAAATTACTTGAAAGAGGCTTCCCTGTAGCTTTGCCATATCTATAGTGAGAGCAATAAAATAAGAGTTTTCAACAATTGGAAATGTGCCAAACAGAGCTAGATGAGGACCCACATTTATCTTTCTACCAGACACAGTGAGTAGGATGTTAAGGAAAATTAAATAATCTCCAAAGCTCCCTATTAGAGGACTGCAGAAAGGTTTCCAGGAGAACCGATATTAATACAATTAAAATATCAGCTGGTTTTGGCAAAAAAAGCTAAAGTGGCAACAATTTAATTGAATGGAGTCGGTCAATGTTTAAGGCACTTAAGCTAGAACGCTGAAATAATTGTTTGGCTTCAGTGTAAACCTGCACAAAATTGCATCATGCCAGCTGTTAGGCAGAGGGGAGGACTTGTGATGCTTTGGGAATGATTTTTCCTAAAGGCTCTATGAACCTGGCTGAAAGGACATTGAAATGAAAACGTGGTGAACTCTACCAGAAAACAGAAAATATTATCTTCATTTGATCTTTTGCGATGTTGATAGAAAAACTCTGTGGCCAAAACAACAAAGAAATAATTCACCAAACATAAAATCAACATTATTCCAAGGCTATCACAGGCTCTATTTTATTGAAAATCAAGAGGGTTGAGCTTAAGATGAGAGTATATGGAAAAATCCACAATGTAGTAGTTTATGTAGTTTTTCTGAGATACATAATGATACTGCAACAAAACATCGGTACATTTTTAAGGCTTTTATCACATCCATAAGTGTGGAGTGTCTTGTAATAATGTATGTAGCTCTAAGCTTGTAAATAGTGTTTTAGATGTAAAAAAGCAAGGAAAACACAACTTGCAGAATGAGAGACAGAATCAGTCACTCTTACACATTCAGAGCACTAATCCAGTGTTGTTTTGTCTCTCAGACATTGCTGGAAATAAGCTTCATTAGCATAGAATATCTTTGATAAGCAGTTGCTGTGGGCAACTGTGTCTATAATGATACCAAACCCTGTCATTCCCCTTTATATCTATGACTTCTTGTGTATCGGGTTACACCTGACACACAAAAACATGCAGGTAGCAAAAAGGAATTGGAAATGATGTGAAGAGGTTGCTAACCATTCACCACTACGCTGATGGGACGCATATCAATCTCGCCGCGTGACATGAGGCGAGCCTCACACACGTACAAGCCCTCATCTGTCTTCTTTATGCCACGGATTTGAAGGTGGTTGTTGCTCAGTACCTTGAAACGAACTGAAATAAAACAGATGATTAATTAATTGATTATTTGGGGAGTTACTCTGACAAGTTTAGAGTATAACTATCATTGCACAGCAGCCACATATGCCAAAAAAGCTTTCCTTTCTAGAGCATATTAACCATATATCATATATGTGAGCTTTAAAACAAACGTGAAAGTCCAAAACCAGATCCATTCAGTCCACCTTATTTAAAGTTAATAAAATGATAGTAAAGTGAATAAAAGGATAATAAACAAGTAATAAAGACAATATAGTAAATTAAACCTTTTAATCAAAGAGGCAACATACATAGTAATTAAACCAAAATATATACTAAGCATAAATTATTTTTATTATTAATAAGCAGATTGGACGACTCATTTACAGTATATACATGTAGATAGATAGATGTAAATAGTTGGATAGACAGACAGACAAGCAGACAGAGACACATATATATACATTTTAATGTAGATTTCTGTTAATGCATAACATAAAGGTGTATAGGTAATGAAAACTTACAATTCAGCCTCTTAAAATTTGAATATTTCCTAAGACCTATTTATAAATAGATACAGTAATAATGGCCTACAGTATAGTATGTCCTTGTGCTGGATAGTATATGCAATGAATTATTGGTTTAGGCTTCCTGTATACTACTGAAGCAGTGTGGTGTGGCATGGAGATGATCAGGCTGTACTACTTGCCCGTTGTTGGAATTGATGTCTCTTATTTTGCTCTTGGCATATCTTAAAGATAATTTTTATTAGGTTTAATTCTATTAGCTGATTTAGTATAATAACAGCCTGATCATCAAACTAGTCAGAGTCCTACGAGGTGACACCCTACAAGGTAATGTAAACATCTCCATAAAGCTCTTTAGCTGAGAAAATCATGACATTTCCTCGGATATTGTTGTGCCGATTCGCAATTTGATAAAACTCTGTGGACCAACAGCAGCAAATGACATGGCTTCACAAATCTGTCAGTCACAGTGGAAATTTCACATAGGACCTCTCGCAAAATCTGTTGCTAATTTCTGTATTTTTCAAGTGATAAAAAAAAGTATAAATTTTAATCTGAACAGAGGAATTTTCCCCGCCAGGCAACAGTTCACTTGTTTTTCTCCTTTTGCTCAGTTAAGACGATTCAGGAGTGGCTTAAAAACTATACAGGGTATTCTGTATAGTTTTTAAGCCGACGTCCAGGACTTGTAAAACTCCTCTAAATCCTCTCTCTCGCAGTGATTCCTTATAATTCTTTTTTTTTTCGCTGAACACATTTTTTATCATATATTTGAATCCAGCACTCAATCTTTGTAGCTTCCATCTATGTGGACCGTGTAAGTGAAAGTTTGCAAATGTCAACTTAGAGGTTTTCCTTGTAGTTGCATTAATTTTATTATATATCTGTATGAAAACTCTTACTGCTTACACTTATTGCTTATATGTAAATTTAAGTTTTGTACAGAACTAAATTTTAAGATTTTATAGATTCAAATAAATGCCACATAAGCTTTGTGGAGCCAGTCTACATTAGCCATTTTATGAATGTTTAGAAATTAAGTGCATGTTTCAAACAACTATTACTTTTGCTTTTTAAGCATTTATGTGAAAATTGAAGAAGATCAAGCATCTCTTATGTTACTTCCTGTCCATTTGCAAGAGGCAGAATCATTTAGGGCCATTACATAAGTGATGATCTTTAAGGTTTCCTCCGTAGGGTGGCTGGGCTCTCCCTTAGAGATAGGGTGAGAAGCTCGGTCATCCGGGAGGGACTCGGAGTAGAGCCGCTGCTCCTCCACGTCGAGAGGAGCCAGTTGAGGTGGCTTGGGCATCTGTTTAGGATGCCTCCTGGACGCCTCCCTGGTGAGGTGTTTTGGGCACGTCCCACCGGGGGGAGGCCCCGGGGAAGACCCAGGACACGCTGGAGAGACTATATTTCTCGGCTGGCCTGGGAACGCCTTGGGGTTCCTCCTGAAGAGCTGGAAGAAGTGGCTGGGGAGAGGGAAGTCTGGGCCTCCCTTCTTAAGCTGCTGCCCCCGCGACCCGACCCCGGATAAGCGGAGGAAGATGGATGGATGGATGGATGGATGGATGATCTTTAAGGTGGTGCAGATATTTATAGTCGGTGATGTAAGCCTTACAGGAGAACATGTTTACTTGTGAATTTGGTATATGTACACTGTCTGAACACATATCCCTTTTCAAAGGTTTTTCAATCCTCTTGTATGCTGCCCACCTGTAGTGTTGTTACAAAAAGGCAGCTTATAGAGGCTCAAACAGGGCTTAGAATAATGATTGCTGCTCAACCCTCTGCAAGGTACAGCTAAAGCCTGATGTTTGAAATGTCCAGTGCTACCAACAGCTCTACAACTTTACAGTTCATATCAATTGATATTATTAACAATTGATATTATGATTTATATTACATGTAAGCATATGCGTATGTGTGTGTTATACATGTCTACTACAAGCTTGAGGCACATAGCAATATGCCCCAAAGCTGCATGAATATTTTCCCTTTCAAATGAAATATGATCCACATAACTGTCATCGGAACTGCTCTAGCAACCCACACAAGCATGTGTTATTGTTTTCCAGTAAGCAAAACCAACAGTAACATTATTAAACTGCCAGTGTCAAATAGGAGTAAGACAGTGGATATTATTTTCAAATTCCAGATTAAATTAAATTTTTCCTTTTGAAGCAGAGATAAACCCAGGAGAAAAAAGGCATGAGCGGTAGCGCACAAGCAATTTCCACTTTGTAACACAGGCATATCGGCATACACATAATTAGGTAGCATTTCTTTGGGTGCCAGCATGTGCCTTAAAACATTTCCATTATAGTTTGTCAGCTCTATATGAGGCAAGGAAATTTTCCTAATTATACTAAATTATTTTTTATAGGTTGTATGAGAATATTTTTCCATACGTGAGTTTCACTTTAGAGACAGCTTTACAAGCATCATATGGATAATCGAAGTACTTGATGATTTAAAAGTCCAATGATCCCAACAGAAAACAACAGGAAGTAAAAACACTTACCATCTTTTTCAAACTGTATTTTTGCTCCTTTATATTTCCAAAAAACAGTGGGTGAAGGTGAGCTGGTGACATCACAGACAATGTTTGCATTGTCTCCTTCAGTAAACTCTTGAGGAGATGGAGCATTTGTGAAGGTTATTCTTTCTACGAGAAAAAGTAAGACAAAATGAATCTTAAACTTTTAATAAAAACCAATAGGGAATTATTCATGGAATAAGAGCAAAGCAGTAAAAACAAAACAATAAACCGTTTCCTGTAGCGTAGTATTCTCTAAATTTGGAGACATTTTTATTCAGCCATCGATGTCACATTTAAACACTCAGTGCTTCTATACTATTCATCTAAAAGTCACAATTAATGTGAGTGGAAAGAATAAAAAAATAAAATTAAATAAATAAAAATAAGAATGAAAATTTTCATAATATAATAGAGTCAAAAGCCATAGTAAAATTGAATAAAAAAACATATTTTCTTCCAATAAAGTATAAGCTGAATAGTGGCAGAAATTGCTTTTTCCTTCTTCTTCTTATTTTTGCTTATTATAGTTTTTTGGTGAGCTAGAAAACATCGCCTAATAAGCCAAATTAAAGCATATAGCCTTGTACATGGCTCCGCTAAACTCCAAAATTTGATTTCAAAACAACAAAAATCACACAGGTATGAAACGATACAGGGGTAAAATTGACAATTCCTTATTCTAAATCTATTTTCATTATCTAAGTGTCATGATCTGGCCTGTTTGCTCTCCCCTAATTAGTAATTCCTCTCACCTGCCCTCTTCCTTCCCAGCCTCATCATATTTTATTCCCCTCACCTGTTTCCTCTGGTTTATATTCAGTTCAGCCTGAGCATTCAGGGCCAGATCATTGCTTGTCTTTCTGTCAGTCTTTCTGTTCAGTTTTTATTTGGTTCATGTCCTGGATCCTAGCTGCCAGTGGAAAGAGGGTTTTAGTGTTTGTCTTGTCTCCTGATCGTCCACTGTTCCTCCCCCGTGGAGTCCTCTGGGTTTTTGGCTTATTATGGGGGGAGGTTCAGTTTTTATCAAAGTAAGCCTGGCTCCAGGGAGGAGACCAGTTTAAAGTCCAGCTTCAAGTTCCGGTTCCTACGTCCTGTCTCAGCTACCCTCTTCCACTGTGCCTGCCTGTCTTCACCTGATCCTGTCTGCTCCTGTGCGTGGCCACCTGGTCATGCTTCTGGTCCCAGTCTGACTCTGAACCCTCCTGGAAGCCTGTGCATGCCTGGAAGTCTGGATCCTGCCACCTGTCTCTGTTCCTGTCTGATCTGGATCCTGCCTGTTCCTGTCTGTTCCTGTCTGTTCTGGATCCCTCACCAGGATCGGCTTCCACCATAACCTCTGGGACTGCAGCACTGGGGACACTCGTGGTCTGGACTGTTAAACCAGGTAAGTGACCAACCCAGATAATCATATATCAGTTTTCTCATGGTCACTTACCTGTGTTTCCTCCCCTAGAGTGTCTGAGATTGGGCGGTGCCCCCCCCCGCCTGCAGTGTCCGCGAGCCACAGCTCTGCTTTTGTTTGGTTTTAATTTTAATAAACCTTTTGAACTTTCCTACTGACTGTCTCTCCTGAATACTGGGTCCATCTGTCCTCGGTTCATGACACTAAGTTTATCAAATAAGCAAAGGATTACAAAACAACAGATTATTAAGCTAATTTTTGCTCTGCTGCCTTTTACCTTTTCAAAACACCACAACATTTATGTCCCTTCATATTTTCTTTACAGCCTGCTGACCAATACTGTGGAATGCCTTTAAAAAATCCTATGTTCGCTATTGCAGATGCAGTGACAGCAATGTAACAACACTGTAAAAAGACTATACAGTGGTAGCCATTCCAAATTTGCCAAATTCCCTTGATGGGCCCTTGGCTGGTCCCCTACAATTCCTTTTTGAACATCAATCTTTGTACTAAAATATTCTGTCATGATTTGTGGACATTCAGATATTAAGAGAAGCCCAATCTCCTGGTCAGACCCTGTAATTCAGTGAAAGGGTGGGGTCAGAGTAAAAAAAATATGCACGCCCAGGAGGACTCGGTCATTTCTATGGCTGGAAGTTGGACGGGATTTTGCTGGGATTTGCAGGGAAGTGGGCTGCCACTAGGCTGGTGCTTGAATGGGAATGGCCATTTTGAATTGCTGCTACTGTAAGTAACAGCACGACATTTTTGAGGAATTTCTTTAAGGTTAGAGATGCTTTGTAAGAATGTGTCAATATAATATGTATTACTATTATTATATATTGATGTTAACATACAAACTACAAATGCTCCTCGTTTTAACTCAGGCAGAATATGGTCACACTTGACAGATTCTTGATGGTGTTCAAGACCTAACCTCAGTTAACTTATGTCCTTGTATTTTTTAAGTGTAACAGTGTGCTCTATCTGCATTTTGCTACTCCTAGTGCTGTTCTTTAACTTGAACATAAGCCTTGCCTCACACTAGCAAATGTTAATTCATGTGCTAAAGTAGTGTGAGAAATTGGAACAAGTCTTAGATTATACTTAATTTCAATCAGTTATATTTTTCTTAATAAAATCTAAACATCCGATATTGCTCTGACAGCAAAAAAGCCAAAAAAAAGCATTTATGAAGTTGCAGTCTTTATATTATGAAGTACCAGACTGCCTACTGTAAATGCTTTACATCTATATGTTATCTATAATGAAGATCTAAAGCAGCCAGAGGACAGAAAAAAGTTGTGTTTATAAACTGGTTTTATTCATATGGACATTTGTTGATGTTAAGCATTCAAGTAAAATAAAACCCATTTCTCAGTGGAACCACACAACACACAGGTTCATTAAACATCCCTTTAATGGCCTTCCAACACTTTACTGAACTAATGAAAAACCCTTGAAAATAAAAAAGTAATGTGTTGCATTTCAGCAGTCAATAGCATATCATGACTTCCACAAACAAGGATTTTTGTCCTTGCATGTTCATATCACTCATTAATTTTAAAGGCTGCCATGCAGCAGAGAGAAAGAGGAAAAAAAACTTACGGAAGATTTTTACTGTGATGGTTGCCTCTGCTTGCTGGTCTCCGTTGGTAGCGACACACTTGTACATCCCGGCACTATCAGTCTTAGCTTTATAAAATGTGAGGGTGGAAGATGACTCATCAGTGCGGGTTACAGTCAAGTCTGGTCTATTGGGGTCTATCCGATCCCCGCTTGGGCCATACCAGTCCAAATGTTTGGCAACGCCTACAACTAAGAACACATAGAGCAGAGCAGGAGATAAGCAAACAGGCATCTGCAGAGGGCTCGCCCCTACAGTAAGCAGAGAAATAGAAGCCAGCCAGCAGATGAAATACTGAATGTAGGTGTATTGTACTTTCTAAATTTTACCTTGAATTTAATAAGGAGTTGAATGACAAGATCACTTGTTTATATGGCAGAATCGAATAAAATGCCTTGCAAAACTATTCTTAACCTTGAACCCTTTCACCTTTTATCACATTTCAGCAACACTTTAAATGTATTTTATTTGTATTTTTTATTACATGTTTATCTATAACTTTTGACAGTGCAGTAATTCAAACTGCATGTTTTTCAGGGTACAGTATGTCTGCCCTTTGCCAAATCACCCAACCACAGTCAGACTCAATAAAAAGTATCAGTAAAAATAGACTAACTTCTTTTACTACATCAGGTTATGTATTTTTTGGGGGGCAGGAATTTGAGTAGGTCATTCTAACACAAAGCATAACAGTGCTTTCTCAATATTCTCATAGACATTTTATTTTATTTATTTTTTGGCCTGTGTCAGATTTCAAAGTGCTTTAAGATAACAGATTTTTGTTTTTTTTTTAGAAAAAGCACAGATCACTACAGCCCTTTAGTCTTTAAAACTACACAGCCAAGGTAAAATGAATGTGTAAAATAAGGGATTCTATGTTGAGTAACAAAACCAAAGCATACTAAACAGGTTTGTTACCTATTTAAATGGTTAATTTTCACATGGAAACAAACAGAAACTCTGACTTACCATCACACATGAAGAATTTGGACTCTCCAAGGCTGATCTCACCAAGAACAGGTGTGATCTGAACTTCGAGTGAAACTACAAATTAAAAGAAAATGATACAATTACAGACTGATTATGAACTAAGTACAAAAAGGTGCATACACTTCTTAGTACTTTGGGACATAAGTAACATAAAGGAATACAATTAACTTCATTATTTAAGGACTAATTAGTCCTATACATAGTGACATAATAATTTTCAATATGTACTGAAAAAAAGAAACAACTGAATACCTTCCAAAGCCAAGATTTTAAAATTTTAATATTCTTCTACTGTCAACAAGAACAATAGCACTTTTTAATTTTGTATAATTGTAGGAGCTTTCTTATAAAAAAAACTAACAATTGGAAACTACACATGTTTTACTTCATTTTAAATAGCCTTTTTTTTTGAGGCAATCATCTTAAAGTCATCTGGCAGAAAATAGAGTTCAGAGGAAGAAGAGAAGACAAGCAGCAAAGTTAAATGCCATCAAGTGACAGATGAATTGAGGACCAACGCGTCAGTAATTTACCCTTGTGTCATTGTAGCACCCATTTTACCTTTTTTTAAGATTAATTTACTTAATAAAGTGGAGAAAAGAAAAGAAAAAGTCTGTTATGATTAAAGGACCATAGCTCCCCATTCCCAGTGGAAAGTTATGGTTTTTTAGCCTGACGTAGTCCGACTCAATTCTAGTCAGAATATGAGTCTGATACTGCTCCATAGAGCTGTGATTATGGGGCGTGTTTTGAACGAACCAGGAAAAAAAATGCCTCTGCACTCAATTGGATAGACCTACAACCAATAAGAGCAACAGAGTGCGTGACGTATGTTAAGCGAGGCATAGTTGTTGTCCACAAAAATCAAAGCGTGCAGTTGCACACCTATAATAAGAAGATGAGACTTGATCGCGTTTCTCTGTTCCTCTTTTAAAATTTATTTGCTGTCGATATCTTCTAGAACAGACCTAATAGCAGAATCTACTCACCTAAACTCTCCAGCGGCAGCCATTATTGTTGTCACCCAAGCGCGCATTGGTCACGTGGTTCATTACGTTACTGTTTGTCATCTGTCCATCATCGTATAAAGCCCGCCCTGACAATTTGATTGGATCGCCTGACATTGGGCGATAATACTCGCGCTACTATGGAGCAGAGCCAGACCGAACTTCCCCGACCTCAAACTTTGTGGGCGGGACTAAGTTCGGAATGGCACCCAGGCTAATGGTTTTTGCCCAACAGGTAGAAATCTTTACATAGGCGGAACTGCATACATATTTTGTATTTTTCCCAGACAGAAAAGGCCAATGAGTACAAATCTATAGAAACCAAAGACCATGCACATAAATAACAGCCAATTCTGGCTCCTGCAGGCCTGCTACAGAAACAAGAGGAACAATCCCTTCCTTGCTATCGCCCACAGTCTTGTCCTCTCAAGAAAAATAACAAGTTATCATAGCAATTAATCAGCTCCTGACACACAGAATGAACTGGTGCAGCTGGGGAAGAACTGCAGCTTTGTCACAGAGTGTCAAAAGAAAAGAAATGTTTAGCAGCTTTAACATATTTAGTCACCTGCAAACAAATATACTTTTATTTAAAAATAAGTAAAAGTACCTATTATTCATGTGAACTGTAGCAGAAAAAATAAGTAATTGAATAATTGTGCTCGATTTTTAAACTATACAAACTACAGTATTTATTATTTCAATAATAAGTTATGTGTTTAGTATTAAACTGAAAAACCTGTCTCCATCATATACTTCATATATTTGCTTGGCCAAATTATGTGTAATGTAATGTAACCCTGCACCTCCACTTCATGCTGCTGGGCACTGCTGTCAGCTGGCTTTAAATAGTCTCCTAAACATTCCCTTGTTAGAAAGAATAACATATGAGACTGTCTGAAAACGGGGAAAAGTCATGGAGGGCAAATTACCAAACACATTCCTTCAAATTAAGCAGCGCTATATTAAAACTGCCGTTAGTAAATTATGAGTAATATGTCTGCAGGCTGGTTACCAGAGCAAACAGGATGACTTATTGGGCAGATAAAGTAATTTTCTTTGATTTGTTTTAGCTTTAAAGAGAAGAATGACAAAAACTTTTTATTATTGCACAATTCCCACTAGGAAAATACTGTGAAGTGTATTCATTTTATCTCTTTACTTTGGTTTTCCTCATTGGTTTTGAAAACAAAAACAACAGAAAAATGTTTTTCAAATGTAAAAATAAATATTTTGTAAAATTATACCAAAAATAGAGACAATTGCTGAACCATTTTCGAATAAACTGAGCATCCAATTGCCTCAAATTCCCTGTAGGTCCATTTGTGGTTGCCATAATCTGGCTGACTGAGCACCACAAGCAGCGACAATTTTAATTTTTGTATTTCTTAAAAACAAAATACAATACAATATTATGGGTTTTAGTCACAATGCAACAGTTTCACGATGGCCAATGTCAATCATGGCAAGTTAAGTCAAATGAAGTCCTGACTCATTAAGCAAAATAGGACATGGAGTACAACAACTTTTCTTTCTGAACCTGTCCCCAAATTAAATTTAAGTGAAGGAAATTGTGCATTGCAATAAACTAAAAGAGATACAATAAGAGAGATACAAAGAGATAAAAGAAATACAATCTCATTTAAGTAACAAAAAATCCACCTCTAAATTATTATTATTTTAGTGATATACCTTTCCAGTTTATTTTCCCCCCAATAACTGAGCCTTAACCCTAACGACCCACTTTGGGAACTACAGATTTAAAATATAACAATCCCTTTATCCTTTATTTTCTGATCTGTAAAATATAGTATCCCCAAGTTTCCTAAGTATACTCAACCTAACAAGGTGCATTTTATTCAAACCCTTACATGTCCATAAATTAGTTTTAAGTAAGGCATTCAAATTTTCCAGCACACTGAAATGTTAAAAAGGATAACAATAATCAATGAATCTCCTTATCATTTTTAAACAACACACTGACAAAAACACCTTAACTTAGTGCAACATTCATGTACTGGAAAAAAGATTACTTAATTTAGAGCATTGAAAATCTGAGTGTTTGACAAAACAGAAACGATAAAACATGTGTCGCACTTAAACAGCGTGCTGCAAATTATAGGCCTGAAGCCATAAAACTTATCACTACAACTGCTTTACATTCTATGACTGAATTAAAATAACAGTGGTTTACTAGCGACCATTTCCACTTTAATCTATAACAGACAGCAATTTAAAGCAAGACCTATAGCTAAGAATTGACTTGAGGCAGATGAGCACTTTTGCTTTCACCCCGCCAGTAGACAGAGAGCAACCTTTGAAGGTGATAGGGAAACGTCCAGGTTCAGATGGATTCCCAAACGACTGGTCTGTCAAGCAGAATCGACCAATGGTCACTAAAATGCAGGGACCTTACCATGGCTGCAGGTGGATCAGAGCAAATTGTCACTGGGTCTCTATGATACCAGACTGCCTGCTGGTACCTATGAGAGGTACCAGCAGGCAACATACTCACGCTCTCTTGGTGAGACCCTGAGCAGAAGTGAGTTATTGTTGGGATCCTGAGGCTTGCCCACCAGAGGGCGCAGAGGATCCTCTTCTGTTATATGTTTTCTGTCAGGAACTGGGGTTACTGTTGGGATCTGGAGATCTACCATCTGTCTCCAGCAGAGTGCGCTGTGGGTCTCCTGGGCTGGAGCCTCTAGCACACCTGAAGCTCATCAACCCATCAGGAGACCTTCCTACAAAAGCAGCAGTCAGACCTTCCTTCGACGCTGCAGTGTTGACCAAGTTTGGTTAGCAAAACCTAAGCCTCTGTTAATCTAGTGAATCACAGTAGACTCTAGAGAGAAACTGGATTCTAACCTGCCTCTGTCTTCTTTACTCACAGAAAGCCTGACTGAAGTCTGAAGCTCTGGATGAGCTTTACCTGGAAACGTGCCTGCCTGCCCAAGTAAGCTAAACCTGAAGATCTCAGTCTGGATTCCTCCTTCAGCTCTCAGGGAAGAGCAAGGAAGCTAAACCTGAAGATCTCAGTCTGGATTCCTCCTTCAGCTCTCAGGGAAGAGCTAGGAAGCTAAACCTGAAGGTCTCAGTCTGGATTCCTCCTTCAGCTCTCAGGGAAGAGCTAGGAAGCTAAACCTGAAGGTCTCAGTCTGGATTCCTCCTTCAGCTCTCAGGGAAGAGGCAGGAAGCTAAACCTGAAGATTTCAGTCTGGATTCCTCCTTCAGCTCTCAGGGAAGAGCTAGGAAGCTAAACCTGAAGGTCTCAGTCTGGATTCCTCCTTCAGCTCTCAGGGAAGAGGCAGGAAGCTAAACCTGAAGATTTCAGTCTGGATTCCTCCTTCAGCTCTCAGGGAAGAGCTAGGAAGCTAAACCCAAGTCTGAGACTCTCTTGCCAGAAGCTAGACGCTGCTGCTGCCGAGTTCTCTGCTACTTCCACATTCTCTGGACCCAACCGGTTTCCCCTCTCAAGGATCTATCAGAACTTCTTCAAGGTATAATCAGAATTCAACTTATTTCATCAAGCCATCTAACTGCCTGGCTAACCAAACTCTCATCTCTTCAGATATCAGTGAAACCAGTCCCGGACCTGCACCAGAACCAGTCCTCCTTAACTCTGTGTGTTGTCCTAAATAAACATTGTTAAATTTTCCTCTGTCTCCAGTTTGGTGTTCTGCATGTGGGTTAAGTCCATTGATCCAATCATGACAGTTATGTAGACTATGAACACTAAAGGCCAAGTCCCTTTTGACAAGCGCAAAGAATTTCCTCTCCTATCGACTCATGTTTGGTTTCGTCACATGGACTGGACGTCTTAGTATAGGAAGCAAGAAATGCTGACAGTTGAACCCTGTTAAAAAAAACAGGGGCTTGTAGTGTGTGAGAAAGCTGTACACAACCACACAAGAGTCTGGCATCTCCTCATGCTGGTCACCAGCTTTGTCACACACTGCGGGGATACAGCGTCACTTCCCTCAACAAGTATAAAATAACGACCCCCCTTTCAGATTATAGACCAGCATCAGGTATTGCAGGCTAAGAAAG